TTGGGGGCCCCCATGGTGTTCCGTATGAATTTACGTGGCTTTGCGTATAGGATTTCGAGAGATTCATTTGAATAATTTATCGTACAGAATTGTTTTCATGTCCTGTTATCAGTTACCACACAAAGATAAGCGCTCGATTCATCGATACAAAAGTATATGAAAACAACAAAAGTTATAGAACACACAGAGTCATTTATGAGTCACTAGCTGAACTATCTGTTGGTTGAAGAAAGACACTGTAACACTAGACTCAGAAGACTGCATCTGTCAAATGTCAATACATGCCAGCATGGCAGGTTCGGCGTTGCCAGTTGTACAATAAATCATTGTTTATGCGGCAATGTAGCGTCGCAATTGACATGATTCATCCACTCAAGACTGAAATGTTTAGAAGATACCAACGGATATCTTACGGTGACTATAAGTTCTGGTATGCTTTGTTAGGTATCGAATGATGCGTGCAATTTCGTTAATTCCAGCGACATGATTATTCCAAGACATATTGGTGTTCATTTGAACCCCAACAAACTTATTGAATCAGAAGGTGGAACCCCAAAAAATAGAAGATATAGTACACCAAGTCAGTGAAGAGCGGCATTTTTCTGCAGAAAAATGTTTGAATTTGTTATAGAAAAAAACAACGTTTTAACGCTTTGTAGACGTGTTTGATGCTCTATGGGTGATTTTTGACCAACACCCGTTATCCATATTTTCTTTATTATCCCGATTGTATGACCACCAAACATTCAATATTATCGGGATTGAAGGGAGCTGATAGGTTAGGTGGAGTACCAAGGGGGCCAAGGGGCGGAGTTCCACGCTTAAATCGCTACGATACTCGTTCCATCCTGCGGATAATCCGCTTTGTTATTTATCGGCTCTTGCACTACATGTCACGCCCGCCAGGTCCGTATTTATAAAAATAAATATGAATCCGTATACTTCATATTTTCTCAACAATGGCGTCGTCAAACAAAATTATAGAAATTGATAGAATTGATGAGCTTTACCACATACGGTGAATGCAGTCCTTATCGAACATTCCATGAAATTGGATAGGTTTAATCATCACAATATTTTTTTGAGAATTTGAACTTTTCGGTAATAAAATTCTGTATTTAAAGAGCTGACTGTATCTGTTTGTCTTAGTTTGTGTGGCTATATATTTTCCAAAAAAGTCATGTTTCATGTGAATGATTTTCTCCTATTCAACATTAACCCTAGATTGATGGGAAATCTGGTAACACTGTTTATAATTTCTCTTCCACCCTAACATCCTAAGGCTGCCTTTTAGAAACTGCGAATGGAAAGTGTGGCTAGTTTCACACTAATAATTGCGTGGGGTCCTTCACAAAGAGCATAAACAAGGAAACCAATATGGCACCTCAACAATCATCATTTTGAATTTGCAAATTGCAACTGTAACTTTGGGTATGTATATACTGATGACTAAAATCGTGAAGTGTTCTGCTCTGTTAATATCTGAAAATAAGCATCAAATACGGATTTTTCTGTATAATCGCTGAAGGTGTTTGGTGTAGCTTTCCCACTAGAGACACACTTTGCAGAACAAATTGCTGTCATACATTATTCGAATGTATTTTCATCAAATTTTCTGACGAAGTCAAGTACTTTTCGTGGTTTTTCTTTCAAAACGAAATTGCACGCATCATTCGATACCTAACAAAGCATACCAGAACTTATAGTCACCGTAAGATCTCCGTTGGTATCTTCTAAACATTTCAGTCTTGAGTGGATTAATCATGTCAATTGCGACGATCCGACTATTATTAACGAAAATATGGTTCAGTGCCCTTTTGGTTGCCTCTTTTGTTTTTTCTTTGTTGATGAATTCAACATATCTCCCTTCATTTGATATGCTGCACGTGACGTTGTGACTATTATTAACGAAGACGCGGCTTCGTGCATTTCTGACATATTGCGCCATTCTTTGTCGACGAGTTCTGCATTCGTTTCCCTTACATTTGACGTGTCATACATGACGATATAAATATTATTAACGAAGAAGCAGGTTAGTGCACTTCTGACATGTTGCGCCATCTTTGTTTTTTCTCTGTCGATGAATTCTGTATTCGTTTCCTTTTCATTTGATGTGCTGCACGATGAGAATAAATCATTATTAACGAAAATACGGCTCATTGCCCTTCTGACATGTTACGTCGTCTTTGTTTTTTTCTCTGTCGATGAATTCTGCATTCTTTTCCCTTTCATCCAATGTACTGCACGTTGAGATTCAATTGTCATCAACGGAGATGTGGTTCCGTTCCTTTCTGACATGTTGCGTCATCTTTGTTCTTTCTTTGTCGATAGATTCTGCATTCATTTCTCTTTCATTTGATGTGCTGGCCGTTAAGATCCAAATATCATGAGTGAAATTGTGACTTAATGTCTTCCTGACATTTTGTGCCATCTTTGTATTCTCTCGTCAATGAATTCTGCATTTTTTCTGATTGGTTGACCAACACCACTCTGTAACACAAGTTGAGTTTTAATGTTTTATCACTATTATTATTATTATACGACCCACATTCTTCAGTTCAATTTCATCTAAAACCATCATTCTACTGATATTTGATTTCTCCATTCTGATTGGCTGACGACACCACTCTGTAACACAAGTTAGGCTGATTGTTCCACAAGGNTTGTAGCTGATGTGCATAAGATTGTACTCTTTTTTAAAAAATTATTCACCCCCCCCCACCTATTATGAAATGCAAAAAAATTATATCTGGATTATTCTAATGCATCGTCGGATATTTGAATGTCTTGAATTAGAGAAATAACACTTTTTCATGACTTTCTCCTCTCCCCCGAGGGAAACAAAACAAAAATGAATTTTCAATCTGATGCAGTTCATGTTATTGTGTATAGAAATTAACTAAGTGATAAAACCCAAAAAAGGATAGTTTGAATGCTAGGGGGCGTTAAAGTCATATCTGGCTCAGAATAGACGATATTTGTACTTGTTTAATTTTAGATTGTGATGAGTCATTTTGAAATCTTTCACAAGAAGAATTCTGAAACCTTCCCCCAACCCCCCAACCTTTATTTCAAAATACTAAAATAATACTTCTTGACTTCTTCTAAAAGCGTAGTCAAAATTTATGTTTTATTCAGCTCAAACCAGGTAAATCATACTTGTTCATTTATACCTTCCCTCCTCAAAAAAATGAGGGTGGACGACGCGATTTTTTTTCCTATGAAATGAAGGATATTTTTATAGAGAGGTAATGAGCTTCAAAAACTCAAAACTCAAGACCTACTGTGAAACTTCACTGATTCTCCGATGTCAAAGCTACTCACTAAAACCGCCACCTCTATGTAAGCCCGTCAGCAGGCTATTGCCTCCGATGACACATAGGCTCTGCCGCCCATCGTATCATGCCTATATTATGTACCGTCACAGTCCCAATCCAGTATTTCCCTGCCTTGTAAAACTTTGTACAAGTTCAAACATCAACAATCGATTTGCTTGATTTGGATCAATTTGTGCAGGCCTGTTGGCGGCATCCATTACTACATCCAATAGCGTCGTCCATGGGTATCTGACATTCGATCCATGGCGTACAAATTCCAAGAACCATAACACACTTGTCACATGTGCACAAGAGTCCAAAGTTCTTGCCCCCATTTTGCAAGTGCAGTAATATCCTAAAACTGGCGCATCCTCCTTTTCATCTTGCATGTTGGGTTAAAAGCAATCCAAAGCTGATGCTTGGAGAGCCTGGTATATCTTGAGTAAATGCGCATTTTAACAAACCCATTCTTATTGCAATGTTCATCTACTTGAATAGTTTCACCCTCATCTCTCTGAAACTTGTTCTGAATGTTGGATGGAGCCAGCTCAAATTGATAGATAACAGTAGGTATAGATAGCGATAGATGTTTAAGTAGAAATCCTAGTATACAAAGATCATCGTCACAATGATGTTTATGCAAAATAAGATGACATATCTACTCATTTTGCGAATAGACTGTATGACTCAGTGGTGCACGCTGATTCTAATGTATATTCCGAAGTGCATTCCTATAGCAAACAAACATGAAGGGAGAAGAGGTATAATTAAACAAATGTATGATTTCGCTAATTTAAGCTGATTAAAACATTTACTCTGATGAAGCATCTACATGTAGTCGAGAATAATTTTTTTCGTGATTTAAAACGGGTTGGGGGTAAGGGAAATTTTGAAATACAATATGAAAACATAATCTAAAATTGAACACGTACAAATATCGTTCCCGCCTATAATAAATAGTCTAAAATAGAGCATAATTACATGCAACATTATCTACATTGAAACAGGTGAAAATGTCGTTTCCGGTTTTCGGAAATGAATAGTATATTTTGAGAAAAGGGTGATTTCAACGATCCCTAGCAGCAAAACTGTTCATTTTTTGGGGTTGTCGCAATGGTAACATTGTTTGAGAATCACATGGACTACATCGTATCAAAAATTCAAAAAATTACCGCCATCGCCTATCAATTGTTTCGATTCACACAACTTCATCTATGTGAAGAATTCAATAAACAGCACACATGGACCCTATTATATAATGATGTTATAAAGTAGTTCTTTCGATTCTGAGCATTGATTGTGATCAAGACAGAAGAAATATGTCACTTCTTTCTCCCAAATGACAAAAAAATGTTATTCTTCAGAAGAACAAAAAATATTCAGACTAAATTCAAACAAAGGATTGAAAATTATATTATTGGGTTTTTCCAGTACACCAACAATTAAATGATAACACTCTAGCAGATTTTAATTTTGTAAAACACTTTATTTCGCGAGTATATACATAAACAGTTCCGTTATTCAAATGTCTTTCTATGCCCATCAAAATAACCGTAATAATGAGGTAATATGCCATCCCCGGAATATCTTTCACCATTCATCTCTCTCTGATGTAGTCGTTACTAAGTTACTATGTGACGTAACCACAAGTCCATCTTATCATGTCTATGGTTTTATCACAGTATTCTGTGCTTTTATGTTATGATTAAAAATACACTGTATTGAGGTTAAGTTATTTATCGGTTGTTGTGTCATATCAAAAGAGTGAGGAATTGTTTGACATTTTATATGTGCAAATAGTTTAAAGAAAACCGGAAAACCGTAAGAAGTAAAAACTTAGAAGTCAACCTCATTATATGCGAAACTTGATTAGTGATTGGCAAGAAGAAAATCAATTATTATGGCCTGAACAACAGTATAAATGACATTTGACAAGTGCCAGCTCAACAATATTATTTGTTTATTACGTGTTGTTACTTTTTATTTAATGAATATTTCATATTATAATGGCTTATGAAGGAGTTACGAGTAACATAGACCTGTCACCGGCTTTCATTGAAAGTTTGCAAAGCGATTTCAAAAGTTTATCTGGGGAATCCAAGAAGAAATATCCACAAGTCAAAGAGGTGGGCTGATTGTCTCTGAAGGGAACTGTACCTAATTATTGTGTTTCAGGCATGTGAAGAAGCTATTACCAAGCTGAAGAGTACCCAATCTTCACCTCAAACATCGATTTATTATATAGTAAACCAAATTATTTATCCTCTGTCACAAGGTTGTGAAACGAAAGATGTTAAACTCATTAAGGTAAATTGAAGAAGGGAATAAAGCATGAGCATTGACGCAATTAAATACTCTAATTATCTCCAAGTCAGTTTATTGGATGCATAAGGGAAGGAAAATTGAATTCCCCAGTTGAAAACCATTTTTATCATAACTATTATCAATTCTGATTTCAAAAACATAGAAGTTCAGATTAGTAACAATCTATCTGATTATTTTAACAAAATATCACAACAATGCCAATATTTTTATTCAATCGAATGAAAAAAAATAAAAATAGATTCTACATCTTTGTTATTCCATCAAAACATTGTAATGTCTCCACAACAGCATATTAATTCAACGTATTCAATAAAAGTTTTAAAGAAATACATTGTAGTAAATATGATCTTTAAAAAATTGTACATTTTCTATTTAGGATGTTACTCAACCAAATTACTTATCAAGATTATGGGTATTCGTCAGGGATCTATCTTTTGGCTACTTCTAATTATTTATTATTTGATATAAAATTGAAAACATTTTATATACTTGAAAGTTGAAAATTCAGAGAAGAGATCTAGACAAGACTTGAGGGAATAATTCTAAAACCAATTTTAAGCCCACCATGTGCACGGGGGTCAGGCATTGATGTGGTTGGTCGTCATTGTAGCTGTATTTGCATTTTATTACTTTCTTAGTACTGTCAAGTCTAAACAGAAATTGTTTATCAAACTAGTAACAAGGTTTTCAACCAAGTTAAAGGTATTTGGAGGGCAACAAAGTGGCTAATCAAACATTAAATGAACTGACAGAGCTTTCTGTATAGTTTATTAATCTGTAACATAACAAACTCATGGAGTCTGTTGATAGGAACAGATACATAGCCACAAAATGATTAAATTAAGGGCTTCAATAAACCAAATAAAAGCATACAATGAAATTGAATATATCAAAAAACAAATGTAACACTTTTTATAAATAACTGTTATGATAGGTCCCAAATATTCAGCTAAGTGACACTAACTGTCATGAGAAATTAAATTATTAAATCACATAAAATTTATCGGACCGTGAAATAATGAGTTGTGAGCTCTGTCGGCGAATAATTTAATATGAAGTGATATTTGAAATAAATAAAATTATGGCAATGTATGAGATATATGTATCTGAATGTCTAATGTATGTTTTCATATAAATCAAATGGCTATAGGACTGAAGATCTGATCTTCCCACCACCAAAAGATCTTTTTTAACTGAAAAAGTTAGGACGAAGGGTATATTCCGAAGTCTCAGCAAAAGATTTTGGTCTTTTTGATTGTTACTCTGGATCTTTTGCATATATTCTTTTATTATATTATTACTGTCACTTTCAGTTGTGTCTTCAAATAATGCAGAAACTCATTACTCACCAACTGGTTGACCAGAAAGGGGCTCTGTACATTACTGATACATTGTGGTCACTAATGGAGCTTGGAATTGAAGAAGTCAAGATTTTGCAAACAGTTACCCTGTTACTAACCACAAATACTATTGTACATGGTGAAACATTAGCTAGGGTGAGTAACAATAAACAGAAGTATATCAAAGCATTACCCTTGTTGAATGTTGAAGGGTCGGCCTTATTGAAAATATTTACAAAAATGAAATATTTGTACACGAAACACAAATACAACATGTAGATCAATTGATTATAAAATTAAAAGAAATACAATTGAATTAATAAGACGAAATATTTTTATTCACCATATTACTCAACACAGGCATGGTACTAAAAAAATGTTTAAAATACTGCAGGACCGTAGATCGTTATTGTATCATTTAAATAATCATGATAGCACTTGCCTATGGCTAGCATTTATGGCTAGTGAAATAAATTGTCATTCTTGATTTGTTTCATCTCATTTGGTGGTTATATGATAACAACTGATGGCATGGTATTGTGGGGAATTTTTATAAAGGGTTGTTCGATGCCTTGGTATTCGCAAAATGTCTCCATTTCGTGTGTTATATTCGTGTTCAGTAGTATATTGACGAGATATGTCTGGCGAAAATAATACATTTGAAAATTAAAGTGGAGATAACTATCAACATTTTTTCTCACTAAAAATTGGTCGAAAGCTGTCCCAATAACCTAATTTGAAAATTAGTCTTAGAATCCTCTTTTGAGCCATGAATAATCTAGTAAGATCTTTTGCTCTACCCCAAGCCATGATATTTATAATAATAATCATGATTCTTCAGTCACAAAGCATAAGTGTATAAATACATCCCAGCAGTAACTGACAAAAGTGTCATAATCAGTATATAAACAAAACAAAAATCAGTTTAAAAAATAATTACTAGAATTTGTTATTTGATCAACAGGGCAAGTATAAAAATCAATTGTCAAACAAGTTGAATGATAGAATTATGACATAAACTCATCAATATTGTAAAAAAAAATCTCAATACGTAACGCCTCAAGTTATATTCATATTTTAATTTTCAGTTAAAAAGCATAAATGTATAAAATACACCCAAGCAGTAACTGACATAAACGACATAATTAATATAAAAAATAATTTCCAAGATAAGAATACAGTCATAAATTACGAATATAAAAGAACTACAATATATAAATATATAGAATTATAAAAAATCACACCCTTGTAAATGAATAGAATTATGACATAAATTCATCAATATTGTAGCAGTTTTTCTCAATTGATGTTTGGAGATTTTTGGATAGTCATCAAGTTGGTTACAAACTTTGCATCCCAAATATAAATGACTTTTTTGGTATAGAGATGAGAATAAACCATGGCATAATAAATACTAACTAATACTGTCGTATGAAAAAATAAGATTTATTTGAATTGGCACAAATATGATTTATATATTTGTCTTTACCCATTAAAATTTGCGTCTAAATGAGTGAGCTGTAATTTTTCCTCTGCAGACACCTAAATATCAGCAACTTGGAGTACGCCCTGTGGTAGGTATTTTCATGAAATTTTACAACTCATTTTGAAGAAATAATTTTCACCTTTGACACTGAGTACTAAAGTCCCCAATAACATTTCTCAAAGAATTAGTTATTCAATGTTTGAGCCAGATATGGTTATAGTGGTATCATCGGCAAATGTGGTGATAAGACTGTTTAATAAGTGAAGGAATATTGTTGAAACAAAAAGGATCCGATAACTGAGCCCTGTGGCACACCAAGATTTCATGAAATAATCATACTTTTTTTGTCATATACGACCTTATCCAATTTATAATGATACAAGGAAAATGTAAGTTATTTAAAAACATAATTGTTCAAGAAACTTTGCACATTGACATGGGGAAATTTTACATTGAAATTGTTGATAATTATGTTTTTGGCCTTGGTGACGTTTTTCTTCTTTTGGTACATTGGTTCCAGGGATTCTATGAGATCAGAACTTCTTAAGTTTGCTCAGAGAATTCCCGCCATTTGAGAAATCGCAATTATATTTGGAAACCTCAACTAGTGAAGATGAAATGATTGAAGTGGCAGGAGATTCTATTGCAATGTCAGAGTGAAGGAGATTTGAGACAGCCTAGGGTAGATGCTGTCTAGTTTTTCAGAACTAGCATTATTTTCATAAAACTGAATTTTATTTCCTTGTATTGTATGTGGCAGTTTAGAGTCAGGTACTTTATGAACAACTTTATTTGTATTAAAGTTATTTTTTCACAAAGTAACGTTCAATATGCTTTATCAGGCCTTTATATATACTCTATATGACATTGGTCCAATATCAATAATTTCCAAAATAGTTGTGAGAATACACACTGGAGGATTAGTCTTAAGCCGACTGAAGCTCTATCGATGTTTCATAGACAATTGATTCAGCTTTTCAATGACAGTTTCCCGATGCGAAAATTAAAAAAATCATGCAAAAAACCGTGGATTACCAACGGTATCCGAATATCAGCCAAAAACTTGAGATCATTGCATATGCTCAGGAAATATAATAATAGTGAATTTCTCTCGACATATTTCAACAAGTATAGAAGAACAGCATAAATGTATAAAATACACCCAAGCAGTAACTGACATAAACGACATAATTAATATAAAAAATAATTTCCAAGATAAGAATACAGTCATAAATTACGAATATAAAAGAACTACAATATATAAATATATAGAATTATAAAAAATCACACCCTTGTAAATGAATAGAATTATGACATAAATTCATCAATATTGTAGCAGTTTTTCTCAATTGATGTTTGGAGATTTTTGGATAGTCATCAAGTTGGTTACAAACTTTGCATCCCAAATATAAATGACTTTTTTGGTATAGAGATGAGAATAAACCATGGCATAATAAATACTAACTAATACTGTCGTATGAAAAAATAAGATTTATTTGAATTGGCACAAATATGATTTATATATTTGTCTTTACCCATTAAAATTTGCGTCTAAATGAGTGAGCTGTAATTTTTCCTCTGCAGACACCTAAATATCAGCAACTTGGAGTACGCCCTGTGGTAGGTATTTTCATGAAATTTTACAACTCATTTTGAAGAAATAATTTTCACCTTTGACACTGAGTACTAAAGTCCCCAATAACATTTCTCAAAGAATTAGTTATTCAATGTTTGAGCCAGATATGGTTATAGTGGTATCATCGGCAAATGTGGTGATAAGACTGTTTAATAAGTGAAGGAATATTGTTGAAACAAAAAGGATCCGATAACTGAGCCCTGTGGCACACCAAGATTTCATGAAATAATCATACTTTTTTTGTCATATACGACCTTATCCAATTTATAATGATACAAGGAAAATGTAAGTTATTTATTTTTTGCAAAAGAATTTTAATATCAACAGTATTGCATGCCTTCGATAATTCAAAAAATTGTGATAGTACATACTTGTTGCTATTANTAAATATATATGACAATAAAGTACAGTTTGATTAATTGATTGATTGATATAGAAAATTATCAGGCCCTTAAATGATCTAGTGTTGATATTTTATAAGTCATAGTGGTAAGGTTTACTGATGTCGCATTCGCAAACTTATCTTTGAATATGCAAGTAACCAGGTCGTCATTTCTTGGCCAAAATGTGGCCTTGTGAACACTTTTTTATTTATGGTTTGGGTACAGCAGTATTTTTTCAGTACTTGTTTTTCATTATATTTTGCAATTCTTTAATCTATTTTAAAACACTTTATTTGTGAGATTTTCACTAAACAGTTTCACATAGCTATTGTATAGCGAAACATTTGTTGTGTTTTTGTAAAACTGTTTAGTGAAAATCTCACAATAAAGTGTGTCTTGAATACGTTATGGATTTTCAAGTATCAGCCGGTTCCATCACAATCTTTCGTCTTATCTTGTAATTCATTCATTATTGTTTTTTTGTTGTTGTACCAAGCAATTCATCTCATACTCTGTATTTGTGGTCTCTTGCATTAAAGATTCCTGTTCATGTTTGATTTTTTCAATATATCTATTCTTTCTTATGCTGTCACCATTTAGGTCTAGAATAGACAAAAGACATGATAAAATTATTGGAATTAAAAACAGTGATTTAACATGTACTCCTTGGTTTTGAGTTTAAACGAGTGCATGGTTCCAATGGATTTCAGTTTTACCGGGAGATAATAGAATAATTGATGGCTCTGTACTCAAATAAAGCAGTTCTATGAAGTGGTATTCTTAATTCATTGGATGAACGCACATTCCTATCCCTTAATGTGTATCTCCATATTCCTTACAAAAAGATGAGGGTTACTATTATTAAATAGACGTAATTTATAAATGTAAAGTGACGGAAGTGGCAATAGTCCAAGTTTTAATTAGGAATTTTGTTTGCACGATTACAGATAATTTGCTCCTATCATATTCTTTCTTCTGTGCCATGAAAGCTCTGGCAGCATGGTGGGACCTCCTCGAATGATTGATTCATAGCTAAGAATTGACTGTACATGACGGTTTACTGGCCAAACTTCAATGATATGGCTTGTCGTATCATTTTTGTGTATGGCTCTCCACCTTCCTGAAAGAATGTTTCCTGCAAGTGGCTGTCGATAGATATCTATCGACAGCCTGATGTCGACAACGCTGGTGCTCCCCAGGGATCCAGATTGTCTCCAACCCCCTTTTTATTGTATATCAACGACTGATTGGGAAAACCAACAATCCAATATATTGCTTTGCTGACGACAGCACACTTGTCTCGTCATTTCATTTGGATTCCAGGACATCGGCTGCAGATATACATTTTCACCGGCAGCAAGAGGTTTCATATTTTAATGAGGATCAAAAAGTGATTTCGAATTGGGGTGAAAGTAACCAGGTTCAGTTCAGTGTCACAAAAACCCAGGCATCGGTTTTCTCCAAGAAGATAAATTTCTCAGAACCGGATATAATGATGTCAGTTCAGACAATTCCGCTTTCTGCTTCGATAAATTTGTTGGGAGTTAAAATGGACACCAATATGTCTTGGCACGATCGTGTCGCTGGAATTACAAAGGCTGTTTCTCAGAAGTGTGTTCAGATAGGATAGGATAAGTTAAGCTTCAGAAACACCAAAACCATTGAAATTGAAAAACTTTCCGATTGGCTTAAATATGTATAAGTGAAAATCTAAATTGTTAATTTATGGGGCCAGAAATAACAAAAATCAACCTGATCAACTCAGTACTACAATCGGTGCAGAACCCGTTGAAGTTCTAAATTCATCAGAAAAGTTGGGATTAATTTATGGATATGAAGTTCGGCGGACATATAACAAAGTGTGCCAGAAATGAATACTGCAAGTTTTTTACAATTCTAGACGTCAAGACAAAAAAATATTGCTTGAATCTTCAGTACTGAAGAGCTCAACTTTGGGAATATGGTATATTATCCTAGCCCAACAAAATCTTATGTAGAATGTGCAGAATGCATGCGACTGCTTCATTTATGGAATTAGAAAACGCAACTTACTTTGTCATAAAATTAAAGAGCCGAATTGGTTAACAATGAGACAAAGATGGTTCTTTTACATGGTTCATCCAATTGAAAGTCTTATTGAATATAAATATGAAAAAACTTTTATTCGGGCACAATATTCACACATTTATTGCCAGGTATCGAAACCACTTCACTTCAAAACACCGTACTTCACTTTACCAAAGATCCTTCCTATATACCGCAACTAAGATATAAAACGTCATCCCAGACTCGATAAAGACAATGAGTAGTTCAACATTCCAATGCACATTGAAAAAAATGTTACTGCGCTGAATAAAAAAATATATGATTTCTGTCAAAGAGCATATGTCCTCTCTGCCTTTGAAACCTCCATCATTTTGCTTCGACTCCCTTCATGGCGAGATACTGAAAATTATCATTATAATTATAAATTATTTTGTGTTATTTCTTCTGCCTTGTTATTAACCATTCAATATTACTATTATTATTCACCTTGTAATTAATAATTATCATTAGTGTTATCATTAACCTCATTTATACATCTAAATTTGTAAATATTTGATATAATCTGATATAATCTTGTAGATTTCTTTTCTTTTTTTTGCACTCATCAGTATTTTTTGGTTTAATAAAAACCCAGTAATCAGTATCAGCTATTGATGTATATTTTTTCTCTGAGGAAAAAGTATATTGATTATTATTACATGTGAATATTATTGTATACAGGGTGGGCCATCGAAAACTTGACATGGAGGTTTTGGGTACTAATCTTGCAAATCCTAAAAAATGCTCAGACTCGCCCCCTATTCCCTATTAAAATTCCAAGGGTTGTTCACCCCTCTGCTTCGGAGTTGAAGTGACGACGCTGTAAATGGGAAAAAAACTGTCCCCCTCCCAATAAAAATCGACCTATCTGGGCGTTTTTTCGGATTTGCAAGATTAATACCCAAAACCTCCATGTCAAGTTTTCGATGTATATTAAATTTTATCCTAGTGAAAATAAAGATTAGAGTCATTTGGAATAACTGTCTCTAGAAATTTGTTCCACAAGGACACCGGAGACAAGTCCCAAACTTTCTTTCCATTATGCCATTCTTATCTATAATGTGACCTCAATACTATCTATAACAATTGATATGCCATGAAGTAAGTAGGTTTCAAACTGTTAATAATACAAAGGAAATCGGAACCACCAACATTCAACGAGAATCATGTTTAACTGTTTATTAACATTACACATTGCATTTGTCGTTTTTCGGGATTGCTCATCATTGTCAATATAGGCAGTATGTGGCAGTTTGAAAAAACAATATTCATAGTTCTGTTGAGTCAAGATACAGATTCCAGTTAATCCTGAAGTGAAAATAAATCTTATAGGCAACCTAAAAATTTCATTGAGAAAAAAATAAACCGGAAACATCAAGTAGGTGGCTATGTTCAAAAAGCAAAAATTGTTACACATATTCAAACCCTGAATAAAGTCATTCAATTGTTCCATTCAGTACTTCTTGGCAGCTTACATCTGATTAATAACTAATTAAGTTTTTATAAATACAAAAAAGTTAAGAAATTCGTCCTGTGAGTTTCTTAATTTATGTTGTTCGAATTTTCCAGGATGGGAAGTAATTGATTGCTGGCCATAGAAACAATCTTGCTGTTGAATAAAGAAAAATTCAGCTGGACCTAATTTCGGAATGACTTCCTACCACGTATCGTGGAAATGATGGCGATATCCTTGAATTATTTAACTAGTAGGGATTAATTTGCTCTTTCCTATAGCTACACTCAACAACCATAAAATATGACATTAAAATTCTGGCAAGCAAATTATGTAGGTAACTTATCGCTCAAGGAAGGTTAGAACATGATACTATAAACATTTATGTACAAACTACAGATGCCATTCATCGAATCGTCAAACTATATACAGTTATGTAAAAATGAATTTCCTTTTGTTCGAACTTATGATTCTTAATTTGCTAAGGTAAGGGCTATTGCTTGAAACTAACTGCACTATTTATTTCCTGAATCTTCATCAGATGTGCTCTACAATTCTTCAAACTAAATAAAGGAAGGACAACTGCTTCGATAAATTTGTTGGGAGTTAAAATGGACACCAATATGTCTTGGCACGATCGTGTCGCTGGAATTACAAAGGCTGTTTCTCAGAAGTGTGTTCAGATAGGATAGGATAAGTTAAGCTTCAGAAACACCAAAACCATTGAAATTGAAAAACTTTCCGATTGGCTTAAATATGTATAAGTGAAAATCTAAATTGTTAATTTATGGGGCCAGAAATAACAAAAATCAACCTGATCAACTCAGTACTACAATCGGTGCAGAACCCGTTGAAGTTCTAAATTCATCAGAAAAGTTGGGATTAATTTATGGATATGAAGTTCGGCGGACATATAACAAAGTGTGCCAGAAATGAATACTGCAAGTTTTTTACAATTCTAGACGTCAAGACAAAAAAATATTGCTTGAATCTTCAGTACTGAAGAGCTCAACTTTGGGAATATGGTATATTATCCTAGCCCAACAAAATCTTATGTAGAATGTGCAGAATGCATGCGACTGCTTCATTTATGGAATTAGAAAACGCAACTTACTTTGTCATAAAATTAAAGAGCCGAATTGGTTAACAATGAGACAAAGATGGTTCTTTTACATGGTTCATCCAATTGAAAGTCTTATTGAATATAAATATGAAAAAACTTTTATTCGGGCACAATATTCACACATTTATTGCCAGGTATCGAAACCACTTCACTTCAAAACACCGTACTTCACTTTACCAAAGATCCTTCCTATATACCGCAACTAAGATATAAAACGTCATCCCAGACTCGATAAAGACAATGAGTAGTTCAACATTCCAATGCACATTGAAAAAAATGTTACTGCGCTGAATAAAAAAATATATGATTTCTGTCAAAGAGCATATGTCCTCTCTGCCTTTGAAACCTCCATCATTTTGCTTCGACTCCCTTCATGGCGAGATACTGAAAATTATCATTATAATTATAAATTATTTTGTGTTATTTCTTCTGCCTTGTTATTAACCATTCAATATTACTATTATTATTCACCTTGTAATTAATAATTATCATTAGTGTTATCATTAACCTCATTTATACATCTAAATTTGTAAATATTTGATATAATCTGATATAATCTTGTAGATTTCTTTTCTTTTTTTTGCACTCATCAGTATTTTTTGGTTTAATAAAAACCCAGTAATCAGTATCAGCTATTGATGTATATTTTTTCTCTGAGGACTTTCTGAAAGATATACATCACTTGTGTCAACGAAATATTGACAAACACACAAAAAGAACAGCTGTGAACAACCCGAAAAACGACAAAATCAAGCTAACCTGACCGAGAAAGCCTTCCTCAATTTAAATATTAGATTAATTGTAGTTTCATTAGTGTATATAATCTTTCAGACACTTGTATTATGTTTTCGGCTTCATTTTGCCAAAAACTCTACCACTATCAATACAGCCGGGGCGACTGTAAGGCAACTGGTTTATCTTGTGTTTGAGAGGGTGATGGCAGAAGATGATCAGCTATTGAAGACTGAAAATGTACCCCAGCGTGCCCCAGTTAATGTGGAGGAATTGAAAGCACCAAGTGGTACCCCACCAAAAGGTGAATATTAAATATGATGTTTTCTTGTTTCAAGTGGTGTTTTAGGGTTGCCGCCATGTGCTGGAGATGCATTTTTGCTGTTTCAAGATTTGGTTCAGTTGGTGAATGCTGATCAGCCATATTGGTTGATTGGCATGACAGAAATGACAAGAACCTTTGGACTTGAGCTATTGGAATCTGTTTTGACTCAATTTTCTGCTGTGTTTTATAAAGTAATAAGTTCTTTACGAAAATGTTTCCAGAAACTCAAATTTGTTTATTTTAGAATGCAGAATTCAGTTTCCTTCTCAAAGAGCGTGTGTGTGCTTTAGTTATCAAACTGTTCTCTCCAAATATAAAATACAGAAGTAATGTACCAAGTAATATACAACAAGCAACACCCTTTGAGAAACCTTATTTTCCAATAAGTATGAGGCTTTTGAGAGTTGTTTCCGTTTTGATACAGAGGTACCATAGCCTGTTGGTAAGTTTATACTCTAACATACTTTAATTAAGAACACAGTTCAGATCCATAAAAGAAGTATCGTGTAACAATATTTCAAGCTGAAATTTCAATGTTGAACAAAATGTTATGTTGATTTATTTTTCAGACTACCGAGTGTGAAATATTCCTATCCTTGATTGTGAAATTCTTGGATCCAGACAAACCGACCTGGCAAAGAGCTTTAGCTCTTGAAGTTTTGCATAAAATGACGATCCAACCAGAACTACTGAACTCTTTTTGTGAATGTTATGATTTGAACAAGCACACTACAAGAATATTTCAAGATATTGTAAATTCTTTAGGTGCTTATGTTCAGTCACTTTTCGTGAATCCGCAGTTACAGTTGGGAGCAGGAAGTGAGTTTTTACTTGTTCTTGTTTTATTTAGTTTTTATTGTCATTTAATATACCTTATGAAATATCATAATTAATATTAACTTATTTGATTGGTTGAAAGTTTTTTTTGTAGAAATTCACTTGACAAAAGTTGAAAATGAATCGATAAATAGGTTAAACAAAACGGGAAATTTCAATATTATGCAAACAATAAAAATAAATATAAATGATGAAAAATACGAAAACCTAAATGAAAAATACAAGGAAAAAAAAGAAATAACATTCGAACCATGCTAGTATCCACAATTGTTGACATTTGTGATGTCTGCTGTTGGATCATAAATGCTTTTTGTTTGGAATCTGGTTTCAATAAGAGTATTTTCGCTAGGGCATAAGAAAAATAATTTCATGAATAGCGAAGCCTTTGGACTATTTTGAGGCTTGCCATTAAAACTCCATACTGTACGTTGTCAAGGATTCCAAACTATATTATGCTTCAATGCAGATCATTTTCAAAAGACACAAATTCCTTCTTAATAAGTATTGATTGGTTCAAACATTAGTGGCAGGGGATCCAGAGAGAAAACTTGTTTTGTCAATGGTGTTGATAACAACAGAATGTCAATTATTTCCATAATATTGAATGGTCTGTTGAGCCAGCTTTTCCAATGGGGAACTTGCAGATTTCTTTTTTACATCGTAAATGTGTTCGCTATGATATCTATCAACTACTGCAAAATATGAGCAGTGAAATATCAATAGTCAGTTTATAAAAAATATAAAAAGTTTCTTGCGTTCAAAAACCAATTCAAACAAAAGTTTAAAGGTGCGAACTGTCATGACGTCATACTGTATCAATCTGGGCGCACTCATATGGTGCAGGCTGTGATTGCCGTTTAAATGTACTTATTTAAGCAGCTGCATGTAAAATATGATTAGGTTCTGTTTTTTTAATAGAATTGGTATTATTCAGTTGTATAGTTTCGTGATTTGTGTTTAACCTTGATTCAGCTTGGTGTGTTGTTGAATTTATACATCTAACAAGGACTTTCAATTTCAAAGGCAATGGAACACAAACAATATTACAAATATTGCCTTGTGCCTTTGTGCACAAATACTTCCATTAAATTACCCAGTAAAATATTTATAAGAGTACCTGAAGATGATCTTAATCGTCCATCAAAATGGTTAAAGGCATGCAGAAGGAATAAAAATGATATTTTACATAACAGCAAAGCTCTTCATGTATGTGAAGACCATTTTAATGTAAGCATTTACATATTATTATCTATCTGATTTGTGAGATAATTGCGTTCAGGGTAGGGATATAACTTAATAGTAAATTATACTGTGTAAAATTAACTAGATACAGTAAAAACCACAGATTTGGACAAAAATATCCCAATAAACCACTGAAACTTCGAACCAGCAAACGCAAGCAGTTCAACATGTATGGACTGGCGAAATACAGTATGACGTCACATCCAATGGCTGAGCGTTTTTGGTCACGTGACGAGATTTAAATTTTTAGCAAACTTTAATTGTTTCTATAGAACAAATAGCATTTAAAAAATAGTTTTTTGGTAATAAAGGCTTCATTACAATGATATCTTTTGATTCTCAGTGTAATTTTCGTGATTAAATTTTTATGCAAGTTCCCTATTCTTGATCTAATTCGTTATCTTTCAACTTTTCTTTTCGAATTAAAAAAAACGGCCCTATTCAATGGCCCAGGGCTCCTGACGTTAGTCTCCTCGATTTCTTTCTGTGAGGTCATTTGAAACATGAAATTTATAAGGTGCACTATGCTGCTACGGAACACCTTTCGACATAAAGTAACAGAAAATTGAAAAGTTGTCGAAGGCAGGACTGTGCTGAAACTTGTTTAAGCAGTTCAATGAAGAGCACAAAAATTTATTGAAGAAAGGAGTCACGTCTTTGAACACCTACTGAGAAGAAATTGAAAATTTTTCTTTGAAGTTAATTTTTTATCCCTCATAACTCCTTTATTTTTCTATTCAACAAAAAAGTCAGATTTGAATATCCTTTATAAAAAAAACATACATCATAAAAAAAGATTCAAAAAGTCAAAGTTGCTTGCATGTTATTAAGCTTGAAAACTGCTAGTACTCTGCCAATTCAAATGATTCCGTTTCTCTAATATCAACAAAGTTACCAACGATGCACACTTATTTTGGTAAATCTTTTTTGAGAAGATGAATATTACCATGCTAAAACTCACATTTTCCATTGACAAATACCAGCTTTGAGTAAATGTTCGAAATATGACAAATAAATTTGTATTTGACAGTAAAGCTTAATTGTATTTTCAATAGTTCCAATTGCCCAGGGACAGCCTCCAGTTTATTTGGGTGGATTGCCAGCTGGTCCTGGGGTATCACCCCAACCAGGATTCCTTCTGAGAGGAGTATGGCTGCCCATCGTTGTGTCCTTTCCCACTGGACAATCTAAATCCATGTAGTAAGTTTTCTTTGACAAAAATTTAGGTTTCAGACTTCATAATAAGGTTATCAAATTGACTTGTGATATAAAAAAAATCAAACGAGTAACTTGTTTCAGTTTGGAAATGTTGGACAAAATTGAACCACCTGTGGTACCAGAAGGCTACGGTATATCGGTGGCATATGCTTGCCTCATGGAAATCATCAGATCTCTTCAAATCACAATCAGTCCACAACCCCAACCCGATGGCGAACATTTTCCAAAGAAAAAAAATAGCAAAGAACTCAATTGCCAGTTGATCAATTCGAGCTGGTGTGGCTTACTGGCAGCACTCAGTCCCTTGGTAGATGCCAGTACAGAAGAATCAATTACCGAAAATGTACTGAAAGCCATGCAGACTTATACTTCATTGTGTGGGCTTTTGGATTTGCACACCCCAAGAGATGCTTTCATCACAGCCATCTGTAAATCATCGTTACCACCACATTATGCACTTACAGTATTGAATACAGTTTCGTCGGGTATAAATTTGAGACAAGGTCAGTGAACAGTATCTGTGTATGAGAATGAGTAGGCTAAATATTCAAAAGGGTGGTCTCAATTGTTGTACAGACTGAGAATATTTCAAAGGAAGTTCGTCGAATTTTACAAAGTTGGCAAATATAAACCATTCCATGGATTATCTGTTGGTTATTCAATTCTCAGTAAAAAGAGTCGTTAGAAGATCATACAAGCTTTAGGCCAATATTTTCTATCCCAATTTATGTGAATATTTTGTTTAAATCCCTATGCAATAAAATTATACCATCATAAGCTTACCTTCACTGGTTTCTCAGATGAAGGCCTGAAACTTGACTTCTATCGCATCCATATTTTGAAACTGTTTATCACTTCATTTATTGATGTTCTTGACAGAGATTAGATTCAATATCAACAATTTGAATCTCAAATGAATCTTTCCTGGTTAATACCATAATAGCTTTGTTCGTCGATTACAAATTTGTACGCTCCGTTGCTCCGTTAGCTCGCTTCGCTCGGCAAGCGTTCCATAATGCAGATCTGTTGTATCAGTTACAACTGCTCTGTGTTCGTTACTTACAAGAGAGTGAATTATCGAGATACTTCCTATTCCCCAAGTAGCAGAAAATCACTGAAATTAAAATATCACCACATACATTCAATTCCTTTTCAAGAGTGGTACATGTATAATTCAAATTTAGTGAACATATTATTTTTATATATCTATATAGTACATGCTATCCTCTAGGTTAAGTTGTAAAAAACTCTATATAGGAGAAAGCTAATTTTTGGATTTTTCAAAAAAATGTAAGATTTTAGTAAATGCATCACATTATCTGGAATTTTTCATTCCCAGGTCATCGTGACAGTCAAGATTTGAATATATCTTTAGCGGTACAGTATGGCGAAGCTGATTATCGCCAGCAAGTGGTAGCAGTCGGTACTCCCTTGCCGACATCCTCAGTACCAGCAGGCACCCAACAAGGACCAGTGATGTTGACCTCAAAAAATTTACAGTCAATGAGAGCCCTGCTGAGTCTAGCTCACTGCCACGGAAGCATCCTAGGAACATCATGGCATTTGGTACTGACCACCTTGCAGCATTTGGTCTGGATATTGGGATTAAAACCTTCTACTGGTGGAAGCTTGAAAGCAGTTAGATCTAACACAGATACGAATGCAGTGATCACCAGTTCTGTCATGGATAATCTTCCGGTATTATCAACCATGCTCAGCAAACTGTTTGAATCCAGTCAGTACCTGGATGACGTAGCATTGCACCACCTTATAAGTGCTCTGTGCAAATTGTCTCAAGAGGCTATGGAGTTGGCCTATTCCAATAGGGAACCATCTTTGTTTGCTGTTGCGAAACTCCTGGAAACCGGCTTGGTGAACATGCCACGCATCGAGGTGCTTTGGCGACCTCTGACAAACCACTTGCTTGAGGTTTGCCATCACCCCCATATAAGAATGAGGGGTTGGGGAGTGGAGGCCATAACGTATCTGGTAAAGGCAGCTTTACAATTCAAGCACGCCGTTCCATTGAGAGAGAATCAAAAACTCCAAACTCTTTTGCTTGGACCTTTGTACGAGTTGTCTTCTGTGCCACACGGAGATGTCCGTCAAAAGCAGTTGGAGTGTGTGTTGCATATACTACAACATAACGAGAAGACTTTGTCCCATGGTTGGCCTTTGGTACTGGGAATCATTGGGGCTGTTAATGATCAACATGGGTAAGTTCACTAGAGCACGTTCATTTTGGTCAGTTTCTCGTAGAAGGATTTAGACAAATCAGAAAATTTGTGAATTGTTGTAAAACGTAATTGTAAATTAGTTATTTGCTGTGGTCTGTAGGTTTTTGGGGTCTGAAGATTCTTCTGCAACCGCGGTAGACATTATCAAAAGCAATGCGGCAATGATCGAAGTGCTCTACCTTGCTGCGATACACAAACTGAAAATGGTCCTGACATGTTCGCATTTATGAAAGGTCTTTATATCGGATGTTAGACTGTTTTTATACCTGCTCGGACTGACTCTTCTTGAATTATTTGGAGAAGAAACATTAGAATCCGCTCGATGGAGGATCGAAAAAGTTGATATAATAGCCAAACAGTTGTATAACAAGCTTCCTTCCTGCTCTATGCAGATGATATCAAACTATACCAAACCATCAACGATGAAAAAGACAGTGAAAACCTTCAGAAAGACTTAGATTCTATCACTATCTTTTGTGAGACGAACAACTTGATGCTGAATGAGGGTAAATGCAAAGTTGTCTTTTTCACGGAAAAATGTTATTATTTCTCCAACGGAATATTCAGTAAATTTCAGAAATCACATAGAATATATTGTACGTGATGCAAACAGAAAGCTTGGTTTTGTGGTAAGAAACGGCAGGGATTTCAAATGAGAACTAGGAATTCTTCTATTCAATGCCTTTGTCAGATCAAAGCTCCAATACGCTTCAATAATCTGGAATCCGCAAACAGCATTTCATTCAGAGATGATAGAAAAAATACAGAAGAAATTTCTTAGGTACACCTACTTAAAAAAAAATAAAGAGTCTCCCTCTATAATCTTCTATAGGACTCAACTAGAACATTTTGACATGCCAACCCTGTTGGATCGTCGAGGCTTGAATGATGTACTATTTATATTCAACATATTTAATCAGATAATAAATGTACCTGAACTCAGTGTGATCAATCTTCATGTTCCTAGTGCTACTCTAAGAAATCGCAATAGGGTTTTCTATGTAGACACCCGATCAGAGTCTCCACTCAATCGCTGCCTTAGGCAAGTGAATGATCTAGTCGTAAATCACCAAAGTCTTGATTTTTTTTTGCTGTGATGAATTAGAAATAAGACAGTCGTTTTACAAAAAAATGTGCCATATATACCTGTTTTTATTAACGTGTCTCTTGTACGTAATTTTAGGTGTTTATTTACTTTGTGTATTTTAAAAAACATATATTTTATGTATCATGACATTGACTGTATACATGTAATCGGGTGTAAACTTGTTTGGAATGTAGTTTAAATAAAATCTATCTATCTATAAGTTGAACCATAGGTCCAGTTCTGCGGTGATCTCATCCAACTCATAAAACGCTATAAAGGATTCTGCGTTTTATTGTAATTCTCTGTTACTCATTTTCAGTTGTAGTTTTGTCAAGGCAGAAGCTGGGGTATTTTCATGGGAAAATCGAATATTCAGCGATGATATGACAGAATCAAGATACGGTATGATGAGTGAACGTCTCCAGTATTCATTATCAGTGTCTGATGAAGGATTACTCCTGTGTTTTTGCCTTCGAGCAAGACGTGAAACAGTAATATCAATTTCTAATTCCTCACCAATGTCTTGGGCTTTTTGAAGTATTTCATCAGTAACTCGGTCTGTGTCGTCACGGTTCTTCTAGAATACTTCAAGGATTCCTGCTATGTGTTCTCCCACCATGATCAAATCCATGTTTTTTGCTTGCAAGACATTAACTACTGGTTCCAATAGTGCCGAGTATTTTGAAATTGTGATTACGGCAACAATGAAAGAGGGTTTCGTAACCGCTGAATGTAACTGATACGCTGATTTTCTTATGGCGGAGTTTCCCTCGACGGATAGTCTTTGTAGGGCTTTGACAAGCTCAGGGAAATTTTGTGAGAATTTTCGAATGCTTTTGTATTTTTCAGACCATCTGGTTTCACACTATCGCGATAGATTCGGAGCCGAATTCCTACGAGCAGTCGATTCTCTGAAAAATGTTACAGTATCCTTTATAGTGACAATAGTGTTTCTAATTTCCGGCACAATATTTGCATCGTTCACCACAAGATTGAGTTTGTGGCTTGAGCAATGGAAATATAATGCTTTGCAACACTTTTTTCTCAAAATTGCATGTACATCACCATTCTTGCCTGCCATTGTGGAACAGCCGTCAAAACCAAATCCTACACAATATTCTGGTGGAAAATTGTAGCTAACCAAAAATCTGTCAATTGCTTCGGCGATTGATGAAGCATCTTGCGGTTTCAGTTCCAGATAACCTGCGAATTCTTCTCGAATTTTTCCTTGACTTTCATCGTAGAAACGCAAGCCGATAGATATCTGTTCTTTCCCTGCTATGTCCGCTGTTTCATCAGCTAACACTGCGTAAGCCTTATGTTTTTTGACATCATTTATTAAGTTCTCCCTAATAACTTCCTAATTCTTCCCTAATAACTTCCCCACACAAACCTATTAATTCGTTTTGTATGATTGGCCATGTGTAATGTGCATTTCGATAACACTTCTCCAGGTGATTCTTCAAATTTTTTGTCGCAAATTCAACAAATCGAAGAATATCCCTTCATCCGTTTTTTTTTCCTCTAAGAGGCATATCATGTGTGCCGCAGAATACTATACAGGAAATAATCAATGACAATATTTTCCTGTTTTCCTCGATAGTTTTTTGTTGAGAACTTTGCAGTTGGACATCCACAGGCACATTTTCGAGAAAAGCCTTTGCATTCAGTGTTGCAGTTTTGTGGAAGTTGGTGGAAACATGTTTACGGCAGTCTTCGTGCATATCCTTGAACTTCGTGAATGGCCTAATCATAAATGATCCCAAAACCCCTCTAACAGTCGCAGTGGCAGGAGGGAATAAAACACAGTGTTTGCAAAGAGCTCACTTCAGTCGCCTAGAATATACCAGCCATGGAGTGTATTGATCCAACCAGCTATAAATGAATTTTCTTCGCAAATGGCTTGCATCAGTTTCAAAATTGTAACTAATCTCAAAGTGAAATATATGTCAATTCAATCTGCAGAAATTTAAATTGTCTAAAATAATCTTGACCTTTTCTCATTTTTTACAGCTATCCAAGATTGATCTCTCTTTCCAAATAGGCAAAATCCAAAGCTGTTACTGTCCCAAACATCAAAACTGCAACACTCTTCTCGACACGAGAATACTAATTGAATTAAATAGGCTACTTCAGCCATATGGAGTCACTAGTTTCAAGCATTTGTGGTTCAATAGTTTGATATAAAATTAATTGAAATGCCAGAAAGCCCCAAAAATCACATCGTTTTCTATCCAATATTGGAATATGAAAAATAATAAGCATTGTAATCATATTAAATTGATTTTTATTTTATTGCTATATGGTTTCCGAGCTATGGTTTATGCTGCTTGAATGAAATGTTTTATTTTCTTCCATAGGGAGAACCTGATAAGAACTGCATTCCAATGTTTACAACTAGTCATCACAGACTCTCTGCCTGTTATGCCCTGGAGGTGTTTACCTCTTTGTGTGGATACCGTTGCTAAATTTGGATCTCAAACTCAAGAATTGAACATATCTTTAACTGCAGTGGGATTAATGGTAGGGTACACTTTTTTTCTCAGAATTTTAGCATCTGAATTAAAAATGTTTCTTTTTGTCGAACAGCAACATTTTAATCAGTTTATATTTGTTACAAGTATTTTCTGCAAACCATAGTATGAATCGCAGAATATTTTTCCATTTGTAATTATTATTCATTATATATAGTTATTGCCTGATAATAAGCAAACAGAATGTCTAGTAATTTTTTTTTGTAATCACCTATAGACCATATTTNTCTGAAAATTCAGTGTCATTTTATGGTATTGAAGCCATAAAGATATTTGATCAAGGTCTTTTGAAATATTAATTTTGATTTCTTGTACACTATTTCCATTGTAAATTAAGTGGTGTCATCAGCAAACATTTGCAAAATATTTCTATATCGTGTCGTTTCTTTTTGTTCAGATGCATTTTCAGTAGATAATGAAAAAATTGTAGTAGTAGTTTCAGTAGATACCACCAAAAATTGGTCGACAGCTGTCTTTATATAGCAAATTGAAAATAAGTCTCAGAAGTCTTTTTTCAGCCACAAGCATGCTGAAGAGATCTTTTGTTTTACCCCAAATTCAAACTGGGATAAGGATGAACCATAGCATGATAAATACTGAGAAGACTGAATTCATCCAAATTGGATTTTATCTTGAAAGGTAGAACTGGAACCTTAGGCGTAAAATAAATCCAAAACAAACACTAATGCCAAACATCAGGACTGCAGCACTCTTCTCTACTCAAATTTCACCAACCAAGTTGCCATCTTCATGAAATGAAGTAGACAGTCTATTTTATCAACTGGAGGCGCCAACTTGGTTGATGAAAATGCACCGAGAAGTGTTGTAGTTCTGGTATTTGGGAACAGTGCTTGTTTTGGATAGTTTCTGTTATATGACAGAGTGAGATTCATTCATATTGGTATGAATATAGTTCATCTTTATTTTCCAGTTGTGGAAAGTCCGCAATATCTAATGTTCTGCATACTGGAATATTTACATTGCCAGATATCGAAGTTAAATTTTGGAATATGAAATATGTGTACACAGAATAATTAATAAAGTGTTGAAGAATGTTATGAAATGGGCTGTAAATCGTAAAATTGAATTTATTTTTGGTGAATTTCAATAATAAAAGCAATTCTTTTCAACATGGTATGGTTGTTCGCAGCAGAAGCCATGTATAATATTGTACATGCGTACAAATTGATAGAGTTTCTCAGTTCCTGAATATGGTCTTTTAATAAATCCTTAATATGTCTGCATCCGTGAAACCTGATTTTTGTGCAACTATGAATGAATTTTATTAGCGTGTTTAGTACTTTTAAATGTTTACGATTTTAACTGTCCTCACTGTCATTAATATGATTTTTTAATAAGTGTTTATTTTTTTTATGTAACTAATGTATTTCATTTGCTCACATTGTGAATCTAAATAAGAAAAATTATAATAATGTTATATACCACTTGTACCCTTGTATGAATTGTGAGAATTTTTTTCTCTTCGTGAATTAAGTTGTCAATCCGGATAAGTGATAAATATCATTTATCAAGAATATCAAGCTCATAAATGATTACAAATAATGTTCAACGTGAAACATAATATTTGAGTTATGTAGAGAAGTTTATGGATTAATTCAAACGCAACAAGCATAAAACCAACTTGATAAAACAAAAAAACTTGAGAAAGGCTTCACCACAGCAAAAATAAATTTTTGTATTTTTATTGCTGACAAAATTTCATTTGAATTCTTTTTCAGTGGAATATATCGGACTACTTTCACCAAAACCAAGGAAAATTGAGCCAGACCACAACCGAAGACAACATAGTGTTACCTGACTTTCCTGGGACATTGAACATGCCCAGCTTTGACAAACTATGGATGTGTCTATATGCGAGGCTGGGTGAACTATGCGTAGACAGCAGACCAGCAGTGAGAAAATCTGCTGGACAAACTCTCTTTTCTACCATATCTGCCCACGGAGGCCTGCTGAAACAATCCACTTGGCAGGTTATCCTCTGGCAAGTTCTCTTTCCTTTGTTGGATAAAGTCAGGAGTCTCTCCAACTCGGCCAGTAGTGAAAAGGTAGATACAGGGGGTAATATTCTGATCCACCACACGAGAAATACAGCTCAGAAACAGTGGGCAGAGACTCAGGTGCTTACTCTGTCAGGGGTCGCCAGGGTTTTCAACACGAAAAGACAGCTTCTACGGGCTATAGGAGACTTTTCTAGAGCATGGTCTATTTTATTGGAGTTTATTGAACATGCAGCTTTAAGTAAAAACAACGAGGTTTCCATAGCTGCCCTGAAATCATTCCAAGAGATATTATTCCTGAGCAAAAACCAGCTCGCTGATAGCAAGGCCATGGAAGACAAGGAAATCTGGGCGATCGCTTGGAAGATCTGGGTAAAAATCGGGACAGAAATAGTGGTGCCTCTCAACGAACACGAAGCCCAGGAAACTTTCTATATCCCTAGTCAGACGTTTCTCACAGCCTTGGTGCAAATATTCCCTAGTGTGTTCTCGCACATCAGAAGTGGCTTCACTCTGGAGGATTTGAAGCAATTCGGTAGGGTAATGAGCAACGCGATCAGCGTGCCGGTTTACGGAGAAACTACCCCTTATGTGATATCGGCGTCTTCAGATCTCAGTTTAACGCCTCTCCACGATGGCGTTTTGCACTCGATGGAGCTGTTGCAGAAGGAGGCAATGCAGCGAAACAATTCGAGAATGATTCCTGACATGTTCAGGATCCTACTGGCGTTCGCTAAATGCACTTGCTCGCCTCCTAATGTAGCTAAAACGGAGAGTAAACAGACTAAAATTTCAGACTGGGTCACGATGAACTATGTGCCTTTTGGGGAGAAGGCGCTGACAATGGTCGTCAAATTGTACGAGAAAACGGCCGAGAATTCAGAGGTTATCAACTCAAACATTCTGAAAGAAATCATTGTGACATTACATACCCCCTTAGCTTTGAAGTATAACTGTGTATCGAATAGTATTTGGAAGTTGGCAGCGAGCAGTCTCTTGGCTGTATTGAAGGTCGGGCTGAAGGTGGCCAGGACGCACGGAAACCAGTTTTCCACAATGTGGAACGAACTCTTTGTCACATTGAATGATTTCCTATTTCCAAATGCGTAAGTTAATTTTTCCAATTAGTAGACATGACTGTTTATGCTTATGAATAATTCAAAAATATTTAGTTCCTTTGTTAAAAAGTAAGAAATACTGATAAAATATCTCCTCTACAAAAAATTAAAACAAAAAACCCTGGTTGTTAAATGGTATTAAAATATATGCCAAGAACCTAACCTAACATCATTACTTCACATAACATAAGAACATTTATAGATATACATAGAACATTTATAGATATAGAACTTTGAAGCATGCTAAGCAGATCTGCTATAGACAAATACAGGACAGGAAATAAATCGAAGGGAAGGTGGCCAATTATCAGGGAAGGGGGCCCATAAATTTTGTCTAGTTTTATTTTTATTTGTGAGTTCAGAGACCACGTTCCAAGTAGTTTTACATATATTTTCACTATTATTTATTTTATTTTGATAATAGTTCTTCTTTGTTTGTTCAATCAATACTTTGTGTCTTTTCTCAACTTCAAAATTATCAATTTCAGTTCAGGATCAATAGAACTCAGGTAATGCATGTTTTCGAGCCGTGAGCTAGAGTTTTTCACTTCTTGATTAACCCTTTTTTTTGTACTTTTACCAATATGATGTTTTATTAGAGGAAAATTAGAATTGAAATGATAGATAAAAGATTGGTAAAATAAGTCAAAAGTTATATTCAGATCACTTTGAATATATAGTTCATTCCAGTTCTCATTGCTCAGACTATATAGCTAATTCAAAACCATCAAACACAACTATTTACAGAGTCATTTGTACACCATGTCTCTACAAATTACAGATCATTAATATTGCTAAAATCTGATAGGTCAACCTGAAGTTCATTAATTTTTTCATAATTTAGACATTGTATATTCAATAATACAATTTGCGGTTGAAAAACTACCTTTCTGTATTGTCCTTCCGTTTCCTTGATAAAAAACGTTTAACACAAGCATTATCTGGCCAAATTTCAGAATTCATGGCTGTTTTGAAATGTTTTTGGTGGATACTAACTTTGCAAGATGAATATGTATCCGGATATCTCGATGTAAGTTGTTCGCATTTTACCTCTGAAAAACTAGGTTTAAACATGTCTTCCAGTTTTCCACAATTAGTACTGGGTTCAAGCCTGTACACATGAACTTCGACCAATTTTGGGACTCCTTTAATACCCATGGGGATCTTCCCTGTTTTCCGGTTCCTACGATGATACTGGGGTTTCTACGTTTCTGATAATTCATAACAGCTTTTTTATTAGTTGATGTCTGTCTGTTTGGAATGTCCTCATCATTTCTTTAATGCTTGCTCAGATTAATGTATTTATTGCACAGTTGCTTCGTTTCAGCTTCCATTAAAGAACTTGCCACCTCTGAGTAAGAAATTTTTTGTTTCTTGTTCGTCATTTGAGGTTGAATTTTCATTATTATTCTCCACTGAATAACTTTTCACATTGGTAACATCGCCTACATCGACTGTGCCATGCAGATTTGAATTTTGGGATGAATCTCTATAAAGTAACTTCATGTTGAGTTATATTGTCACGTAGAGACTTTTTAAATTCATTGTTCAGTTGCTTCAAATACTGAATTTCAATGTTTGCGTTTTTAAGATCATACTTAAGTCTTGTTATTGATTGATCCTAACCTGTCTGTTTCGAATGTCCTCATCATTTCTTTCTCACTTGTTGAATCAAAAAATTCCCAGTCATCTACATATTTGCGAACTAAGTCACTAACTTTTAGGTCAACTGGCACTTTTGATATTATGTCTATTAATTCACATTTGTTTAGCCCATCCAGCTCTTTAGCAATGTTCTCTAAATTTGCTATGGTGTTTCATAAATCAGTCTTTCGAATCTGATGAGTTCTCATTGTTTCTGAATACTTCTCTCATAATCCCTATTTATAAGAGTGGACCTGATGATGTCCCTAAGTTTTTTTTCAATATAAAACCAACATACTTACTTTCCATTGCAATTTACCTGAGATTTGCCTCGGCAACGAAATCATTGGAAGGGTATGTAATTATACATTTCTAGGGTTAAATATTGATGATAAAGAAGTTTTAGTATCGCAATAAACTAAAGCAAGATGCTTGCTTCAGGTTGCTATACACTAAGAGTCATCTCTACAGAATTTACTCCCATTCGAGAACAGCTTATTTTGCTCTCATAGATCCCCATATTATATATAAAATGGCCTTTTGGGGAGTTTGCACTAGAGTTTCATTTCAAATGATTTTCGTGTTCCATAAAAAAAACAATCTGATACATGTGCAAAGCAGCTCCCAGGGATTTATGCAAGCTTCTTTTCATAGATCACGGTATTTTAACGGTGGCCGTCATATTTATTTTAAAAACTATCTGTTGAATATAGAAAAATTGTTTGTCTTGTGCTACCCCTCTTTCTTCACACAATACTCGTAGTCACAACGGCAACATAGACTTGCCTATTCCTGCGAGCTCCCTAGTTAGGGTGTTTCCTAATTACGGTACGAAACTTCAGAAAGTGCTTTGTTTGGTCGTTTTAAGAAAAAAAGTTCCTATGAATATATGTCCGGAGTTGCTTCCATCCTGAGATACAGGGCGTTGAAGTAAAAACGATATTTACAAAATATAGATATTATTACACCGATTTGGCTGATTTTTGCTACAGTTATTTAAAGCAATAAAGCGCTTATTTAGCCCCAACTATATTGAAATTATTAGGTCCAGTGGAGTCTCAGTGGGCACCACAACCAACAATATTGGGAAAAAAGTACACAGCTGACTTGTAGTCTTTCATTTTTTTTAATTATTCAACTAAAAATACAACTTTTTCTTCGCTTTTGTTTTCTTTATGTCTAGCTTCGTTTTTGAAAAAAAAAAACATTGAAGACACTTTGCATATCATGAACACCTGCTTTGGAGACCAGCTGACAGTGATTGTGTTGTCATATCAGTGAAAGTATATATTTCAATATTAATTTTTACAAAATTAATTATGTGCGAGCGCCTTCGACAGCTGGTCGTGCTGTCATCATCTAGGCTCTACTCAAACTGAACGTGTCAACCTGTTGTTTGTCCTTTTATGCGGTCCGAACGCCTCAGTGCAGGTACTCCAGGTTCTTTAGGTAAATTTGCCTGTATTTGGGTTACACCAGGTAATATTCTTTGTGTTGGATCTTCTCTAGGTTTACTGTTTAATATATTGAATGTTAGGTCTTGTTGTATTTTTATTTGTATTTGTTCCTCGATAAGTGATTTATGGCTGTTAAATTTATGAATGTTTAAGTTTTCCCAAATGCCCATACGGTTTCCCTTATTGACTTGTTTTACGAGTTTAATGTTCTCTGGTGTGGGGAAATTGTGTTTGTTTTGTATGACGTGTGTTGCGAGGTTTGATTTATATATTATTGGGTTTATGTATGCCTTTTTGTGCTCGTTGTACTTTTGGATCAGTTTTTTCTTGGTTTGGCCGATATAGAATTTGTTGCAGTCCGAGCATTGTATGCTGTATACCCCGTTTTGGTTTTTTTCTTTTTCTTTTTCATAGATGTTTATTTTTTGTGTTATTTTCGTGTTTGGCTTGTATGTGATATTGATGTTCAAGGGTTTGAAGATGTTTGTTAGTTTTTTGGTTGGTGTCCTACGTACGTAAATGCTGTCCATCGTTGTGTTGTTTTGTCTGTTGGAGTGTTTTGATCCTTGTTCTGTATTTTTTGTTTGATTCTGTTTTCTAATTTATCTATTATCTTTTGGGTGTATCCGTTCTCGTTCGCTATTTGGTATATGATTTTCCGTTCTCTGTTCCGGGCTTCATTGCTAAGTGGTATCCTTAACATTCTATATATGAATGCGTTATCGGCAGCTATTTTGTGTGATGGTGGATGGTTTGAACTTGCGGGTTTGGTGGAGCTTGTTTGTGTAGGTTTTCTGTATATTGCCATTTGAAATCGTGTTTTGTTGTGATTATATCTGATGGTTATATCCAGGTAGTTAAGTTTTGAGTTGTTTTCTTCCTCAATGCTGAAAATCAGTTTTTGATTTATTTCGTTAATTTCCTTTGTTATTTGATCTTTTCTTATTCCATTGTTTTGTGATATGTACAGTCCATCACCAACGTATCGGAACCATTCTCCTTTTTCATCATGTGTTTTTATTATTGTTAAGATTTTCTCATCTATGGTTTGCAGGTATTTTTCGGATATAATGCTAGATAATGGGGATCCCATCGCTAGCCCATCTGTTTGTTTATAAATTTTTCCTTCATATTCGAAATAGTTTTGGTTGAGTATTGTATTAAGGCTGTGTTCCATCTGGTTAATGTAGATTCTGTCTATGTTTTGGTGTTTTAGTTTATCTGGTATGTTGGAGTACATGTTGTCGAATGTGAATAGTTTAGTGGTCGGGCTGACATTTGTCGTTGAGATTCTGTCTGTGAGTTCCATTGAATTTTTGACGCTGTGGTTGTTGTTCCTGTTGATTTTGTTTTTCAGTTCATCAGCTATGATTTTTGAAATTCATAAAAAATTTCAATATATTAAACAAAACAATACACACTCCTAGGAACAGTAAACCTATAGAAGATCCAACACAAAGAATATTACCTGGTGTAACCCAAATACAGGCAAATTTACCTAAAGAACCTGGAGTACCTACACTGAGGCGTTCGGACCGCATGAAAGGACAAACAACAGGTTGGCAAGTTCAGTTTGAGTAGAGCCTAGATGATGACAGCACGATCAGCTGTTGAAGGCGCTCGCATATAATTAAATAGGAGTTATAAAGCTTCAAATCATTCTTATCTGTTATATATAAATATTGTTGAACCGCGTCTGGAGTTTTGTATTCGACGTTTCGGCTCCCATCGTGGAGCCATTTTCAAGAATTTTATGTGACTTGACGCTTGGGCCTCAATCTGCCTACTCCCCAGGTCTCGTCGCGAGTTCTCTCTAAGGTCTCAATCTGCCTACTTCTTAATACAAATTGTTTCATATGTTAAGTGATTACTGTTTTGAACATAATAACATATTGCTTGTTGTATACCTAATTATTAATGAACCAAGTGTTTACTAATAGACCTATAATTAATGATATTCTTCTGTTTGGATTTGAAAATCGGAATGATACAGATGAATTTTCAATCCATAAGGAATATTCCAATCGGGCACTGATTGTTAACACTCTTTTAGAGAATGGAAGCTCTTCAAACATCAACCAAAAATAAATAAATATAGCATTACCTGTAATATTCAATGATAAAATATAAACTTGATTTCTAAAGATAACCAAGTCGGTATAGTAGTATGTTTATATATTTTCTGCCTGAACAAACGTGATGATGGTCAGAGACTTTCAACTGCCTGGAAACCCCTAATTTCCCGATGCTCACCCCCCACTAGAACGTCCGGTGATGGTAATCACCCGAAGCCCCGCCCCCACCTTTCCGCTTCAGTAACTTCCGTCGATATAAATACCACTGAACACCCATTGATACCTCAGTTCAATCTAAGGGGTAGGCAGATTGAGACCTTAGAGAGAACTTGTGACGAGACCTGGGGAGTAGGCAGATTGAGGCCCCGGCGTCAAGCCACAAATTCTTGAAAATGGCTCCAAAATGAGAGCCGAAACGTCGAACACAAAACTCCAAACGCGGTTCAACCCGCGTATGTGAATGCCATATCTATTATAAAAGTACATTTCCTCAACAGTTGCGTTCCTGGAGACAAAGGCTTAGATGAAATGGTCTCAGATGAGAGCATAGACTGTCAAATGATCGAGTTGCTGAGGACTGAGGTATTACCATTCTCAAAAAATATACCTAAGGACTTCATAATGCAAGTGGTCATACTATTGAATCGAGGTTCCATACATTCTGTGACGAACGTCAAAACAGATGGAGATATCGAACTAACGTTAAGAGAAGAGTTTGCAAAAACATGTTTTGAGACATTGTTGCAATTTTCATTGATCGACGACAGCAACAATGGACTCGTAATGAACAGTGACGACAAAACTAACGGTATTGCTGGTCATTTAGCTGTTACTTCTCTGCTTCATCGCTTTCAAGAGGTGTTGAAGAAATATATCGAAGACGAGAAACTCAGCGGGAAATGCCCTTTACCAAGGTTAGTAGCCCTTAGATTAAATTTCGAAAAATTTTGCTTTACGACTGTTGGATAGATTTCAAAATTCTCAAACAAAAGCATAAGACTCCTCTTCAACACTTTGAACTTGACATGCCCATGTTGGGAGTCATTTAGGACAAGGTGCCTACTGGTGCCCACAAAATATTCTACATTTCTTCACATTGATTCTGTATATGCTTAGTGTGTCTGTGGTCCCACAATGTGTTTCGTTCTACCATACTACTTTATTTCAAAATTAAAAAATACATTGAATTTGAAATCAGGCAGGTGGTCCTTGTGAAAAAAACAGACATAACTACTAGTTCAGCTGATAAATTAATATTTGTTTTAGGTATCGACTTTCGGAGATCTCTTTCGTATTGAAAGCTCTCACAACATTAATAATATCAATGAAAAAGGCGACAGCTGTGAAAGGTAATTCATTTGTTCAAACAGTATTTTTTTTACTCAACATTTTATTTTTTTTTTCAGAAGACAATAAAGCATGGGAACATCTCATAAGTCTGTATCCTTATTTGGTTGAATGCACCACCACGAGTTCAACACAGGTTTCCAGACCATTGAGGGAAGCTCTACTACAGTTCTGTGATCTACTGCAACCACCACATAATAAGAATAATAATGTGATGCGAATTCCAGATTCCTTGATATAATTTTTAATAGTTTATTTTAGTACCTGTGAAAGTTGTCATATCTAATTTGTACATTTTACACAAATTTCATATTTTAACATATTCCTTACCATGGATAAACAAGGGTTGTGCACCCGTTTCTGAAGAAATATTCAAACATCGTAAAAAAGAAGAAGGTGCAAGTATTGAATAAGGATATGACTTGATCAAGCCTGATGCATTCAAATGTAAATTTGTAGATTAGAATATCATCTATGTTATTGTCGAAAAAGTTTAGGTATAGAGTACAGTTAACTCGCGATAGTCCGACACTACGGGACCGCGGAGGTGTCGAATTTCAAAAGATTGACTCTATTTAATTGAATATGCAGTGTATAAGTTTGGAAATCTAGTTAACGATGAATTTTTATGTAATATTTGACTAGAAATGATTCAAAATATGTAATGAAGTCAGGCTTTAGTTTTTACAAATGAATCATAACACAACATGAATTGGTTTTACAGGTTAAGGTAAGACCGACTAGACTATACCGATGACTCATATGGCGCAGCGTCGGACTACCGAGCGTGTCGGACTATCGCGAGTCAACTGTACTATAAAATATTTTTGCAAGACAATACAAAACATTCATAAGAAAATGATAGAAATATAAATTTTGTGAAACTGAGGATTGAAGTACCTATATGTGTGTACATGAAAAACATAAATCAATATACAGTATTCCAAGAGACAATGATTTCTTCAAGATTTGACTGTAAATATTCATTTAGAGTATAGAAGCAATGTTTAATGAGATAATGCTTGTATCTCTTTGAAGTTGTCGAAGTTGAGATTTTCATATTATTTCTGGAAGAATGTTGAAGAGAATAAAATCTAGAGAATTTCTGTGAGTTAGTCTAACTAAATTACGTATTTCTCATTTGCATAGCAAATGTGTTGTGTTGCATTCATTTATATCACTCTTGAGTCTTGAGAGTCATTGATTGTTATGATGTTATGTATCTCTAATAGAACTTTGATCAAATACAATGATAGTTTCATGTCATGTCAGACAATAAAAAAATTGTTTACTGTAGGGTGCATTAGCCAGTATTCTCAATTGTTTGAGAAGATATATTGTACTTGCCAATTTATTGCTAAGATTCCAATGTGCGAGTGCCATTTCAGTTTCACATCAGTTGTGATTCCCAATAGCTTAATGCTCATGTTACTATGGCATCAGTGTTGAATGTTTTGTTCACTCACAAGTCTGTTTCATATTTCGACCGCTTTGCTGAGTTAATCCTGTTAACTTTAAGCTTTACCTTTTCAAAACATGTTATAAACACAGTGTTGAGATTTGATGGAAGTTTGTTGTACAATTTTGAGGAAGTATTGAGTATTCTAACACACAGTGGGCCCAAAGTTGAGAAAGCTGCTCAAAGTTATTTTCATTAAAAATGTTTTGATCGAGATGAAAATAACAACGCTAAATTCGATAAATAATAATAAAGTTGTATTCTCCAATAAAAATACAATATGCGATGATTTCTGTCATACACCTGATTGAATAGAAAAACGACAGAAAACCATGAATTTTATTTTACATGTCAAACAACTATACTTCAAAAAATAACTCAATTCCTATGAATTAAGAGAATATATTTCCTCACTTATTCACTTGTGTCAGAACAGCTCAATTCACATATTGTCTGAGGACAACTTTTGTAGGAGCACGTTCCAACAAGCGTATCACTTCAGAACTAAAAGGATTTTTATGTGTTGGTGTTGCAGATTTTAAACTAGAGAATGCGAAGCGATTTAGCATTAAATTAAGAAGAAATTTTAGAATTCTTTCAATTATGAGAAGTTTGAAAAGATTTTGAATCTTTTTGCGACTTCTGAAGCTTCCTCAGATAGTGATGCTATAGGGAGTATATCATGTTCAATAACATGAGATCTATGAATTGAATTTTTGTATACAGATACTCAACATGTTGCACCTGTTCACGACTGACTCACTAATTTTCTCATACCATAAATGAAAAATAGTTTCACAATTGGGCCCTGAATACAATAATTTAAAGCAGTTATTAGCCTCGAGTCGTTTCCACTGCAAATATAATAGATATGCAGAAAACCCTATAGTTTCAGCCAGGATTTTGAAATAGTGGAAATACTTTATAAAAATTTGAAAGTCTTTAATACTGCTTTGAAAATGTCTTAAATTGATAACCATATTGTTACGTTTTTTCCTGTAGGTTCACCAATAATTGACTACACTGAATAATCTAACTTAACTTTATTTCACTTTAAATACAACAAACACTTCAACTAAAAATTCAACTACTATTTTAATTTTTATCGCCTTACTAAATCACTTCGCGTATCGTACTGTATCTTTCACTTGACTGACTTGCATACACTTGCAGACAGCATTTAAATATCGCAATGGAACATCGTAGAATTTCGCCGAAGTTCTATCGACATCGGTAGAATGTTTCTTGCGGCTTCTCGAGCGGCAGATAACATTGGGAATTCCCACGCTCTCAGCTACGTCACGTTTGGTTTATGGTTACCAGTGGCGGCCGGCGTTATTTCCTTTCGGGCATGATTTACAACACTACCACCTTCCCTGAGGTTGTTCGCCCTGAACAACATTCCAAGAGGGGACATCACGACCCATGTAAAGACTCAGCCTCTCTATGTGGATAACTTTAGGCTTGCTTCTGGGTGACAATTGGATTCTGTACACCAGATCGTTTATCTTTTTGGTTGCCAAGTAAGGTCCTTGCCATGGTCTCTGCAATTTGGGACACAAACCTTTCCGACGTTGGGGTTGGTAGAGCCACACTGCATCGTCCTCCTTGAAGCTCACTGGCAGCGACTTTTTGTCAAATCTTATTTTCATCCTGTCGCTGGAAAGCTGTAATTCAGTCCTGGCAAATTCGTGTACAATTTCCAGTCTCTCCTTCAGGTCATTCACATACTCTGAAAGAGGTACCTCTTGAGATTCATCGAAAGGACTGCCATACAATACATCTATTGGAAGCTTCAGTTCCCTACCAGTTAACAATATGGATGGTGTATAACCTGTCGCGTCATGTTGGGAGCTCCTGTATGCCAACAGAAAAAGAGTAACCAATTTAACCCAGTCTCTTTGGGTTTTGGAGGCAATTACGTTCTGCAACAGGGCTTCTGCTACCGTTTTAGCCTCTTGGTTGGGTAAGGCTACTACTTCAGGCCATTTGCAAAAGTAGTCCATCACAACCATAAGGTACTTGTTACCGGATGTGGTCATAGGAAGTGGCCCCAAAATGTCGACTGCGATTCTCTCGAAAGGGCACACACTGGAGATACTGCTTCAACGTTTCTCTTTGCCTTATCTTCGGACCCTTTCTTGAAGAGCACAGGTCACAGCGCTTACACCACTCTTCCACGTCACGACGGCAAAATTGACCCAATAGTACCTCTCACGCACTGTCGCTGGAGTTCTATTTACTCCGAAATGTTCTCCAGTGCGACCATCGTGAAGCTGTTCGAGGATACTTGGGATACACGTCTTAGGAAGAATCATCTGGAATTTGTGGGTTTTTCCATCCGTGCTTTCCCATCTCGAATGCTCATGGAGTCCCATTGGAGCCAGTAACCCTTTTCCTGCTGGCCGTGCTTGGAAATCTCTTGCCATTCCGGTCTCGCTCCTTTGGCAATCCGTTCTGGTATTTTTCAAGACGGGATCCTCCTTATGCGCTACGATGATGTCTTGCCTCGTCAGAAAGGTAGTGGCTCCCTCAGAGGATGTTTATGACCGTACCACCATGGTCAGGTGATTCCTTAAATTGGCTGTGCGTATCCCTGAACAGGGACCCTTACAGGTTGCTACCCTCCGGGTCAGAGGGAACCTGTATTTTTCAATACAAACATTAAGCATTCAAAAATATAAAGAGCATATATCGTCATTATCCCGTTATTCTTGAAGACATTTCTACACGATTGATTATACTACAAATTACAAATATTTTATTTATATTACTATTGCTTCCCCAAAATATGATTCCATATCTAGCTACAGACTCAAAATTGGAAAAATATAAAATTTTTACAGATTCTCTGTTGAGATATTAGTGAACCATCCTTAGTCCATACGAAACATTGCTCAATTTGTCAGCTGTATAATCAATCTGTTTGTTCCATTTCAAGAATTCATCAATATGAAGTCCTAGAAATTTGGTGTCTTCTGAATATTTTATAGTGATGTCTTCAATATTCAAATTTTGAGGTCGTTCTATCTGTAGTTGATTAGTTCTAAAAAGTATAAGATTAGTTTTAGATTCATTCAAAATTGACCTATTCCTAGTGAACCATTCTTTTGTATCATTGAACATATCCATACCTGCTTTTACTAATTCAGGGTATGTTTCACGGCCTATTAATAAATTAGTGTCATCAGCAGAGACTGTAATTGAATTATGTGTGTTTGAATGATAACATAAATCGTTTATGTAGATAATAAATAACAAGGGATCCGCAATGCTTTCTTGGGCTATTCCTACTTGCACTGCCGCATTGTCAGATTTGTATGTTCGACCATGTTTGTTAATAGTTACTATTTGTTGGCGATCTGTTGGTAAGATTCAATCCATTTCAGTGAGTTCTCTCTTATACCATATAGCTCTAGTTTTTTTATAAGTATCTCGTGATTCAAGCAGTCAAATGCCTTTGACAGATCTAGGAACATACCAAGTGCTAAATATTTTCTTTCTATTAAGTTTGTTATATTTTGAGTAAATTCAAATATTGCAATGTTTGTTGATCTCTCTCGTGAGTATCCGTGTTGGTTATTGCTAATTATATTACATTTATATAGAAAATATATTCTTTTTTCGCCTCATTATATTGGTGCCGACTTACTTTATTATTTAAATATAAAATTAACATGGCATCCAAAGTGTGTTTCCACTTTGACTTTGACCACTGCGAGGAGTTCTTTCCCAGTAACGCAGTAATTTCTTTCGGATGTTCCCAAAGACTTACTAAAATAGATGATGACTTCTTCTTCCTCTTGTGCCTGGGAAATTACTGCTCCTATTCCATGTTGGGATGCATCCGTGTCCAGTATAAACAAGCCCTCCTCCTTTGGGTATGCCAGGACTGGTGCGCTGGTCAAATGTCTCTTCAGGGCAGCAAATGCTTACTGGCAGTCTGGATACCAAACGAAAGGTGTTCTCTTTTAAGTTAAGCTATGCAGCGGTCTGGCGATTTTTCCAAAGTCCTTCACGAAACGCCGGTAATAGCTACAGAGTCCAAGGAAGCTTCTTACATCGTGCTTGCTCTTCGGTGTTGGCCAGTCTTGCACTGCCTTGATTTTCTCCGGATCTGTTTCAACTCCTTTTGAAGACACAACGTGTCCCAAGAAATTCACCTTTTCTTGGATGACGCAGCACTTCTTGGGATTCATCTGCAAATGAGCATTCCGTAGCCTCGTGAAAACACTCCTCAAGTTTGACAGATGTTCGTCAAAACTGTTTCCGGTGACTATAATGTTATCAAGATAGACCAAGCATGGTTTCCAGGTAAGTCCTCTCAACACCAACTCTATCAAGCGAACAGCATAAATTTAAACTGGAATAATCCATTGCCGGTGGAAAAGGCACCTGCCAATATCCACTTTTCAGATCTGGTGTTGAGAACCATCTGCATTTGGCCAAGATGTTCAGGGTGTAACCTATTCTAGGGAGAGGGTAACTGTCCTTCTGGTGACATCATAAAGCCTTCTGTAGTCTACGCAAAATCTCGTCGATCCATCTTTCTTAGTAACTAATACAACAGGTGACGACCAAGGGCTGTTTGATTCCTCGATTACTCCTTCCTTCAACATGTCCTTAATAATGGATGCAGCTTTGCGAAGAGAAGACGTCTCGGTGGTTGACGTATGGGCTTGGCATCGCCAGTATCGATGCGATGTTGAACTAAATCTGTTCGACCAATAATTTTGCCCTTTACAAATATATCGGGTGACCTTGCATAGTTCTTCTTCAGACAGATGGTTCCACGTCTTCTTGAAAGAGTCTATTAGTTCCTTTGCGGGTTGTTGAGCACGCAGTAGAGGGACTTCTTCGATCCTGGCGATTTTCACGATAGGTTCGCAGGTGCCTATCAATTGCCATTTCTTGAAGTCACCCTGTTATTATTAGGGTTGATTATTCTTACTGGAATGGTCTGATTGTTACCATTCACGACGGATCTGGCCACGATGATTTCTGATTCAGAGCCGTTGGATGGCTCTATCAATGCTGTACTCAAGCCGCCAGGTCCAGCAATTTCCGCTTGAATAATTTTCTCGGTGTTAGGAGAGATTCTGGAATCTTCTACCTTGGCGCTGTCATAAGGCTGAGAGGGTACGTCGAGCAAAATTTCCTCATTTCCAAACTTCAACAGTTTGTTTCTTATGTCCACCACGAATCCGTAGGGGGACATGGTGTCTAGTCTCAAAATGAACTCGTCGACGATGTTAGCCACTAATACCTTAGTTTCTATTTCGCAGTGCCCAAGCCTAGGTCTCACTTCAGCTTCTTCATAGACTGTCAATCTATATCCAGTGGCTGTTTCTAGAACAGGTACTACAGAAAATTTCTTCAAACTGCTTCTGTTGGAAATGTCGGCTCTCATTACTGACCTCGTTGCTCCAGTATCGATGGTGAAAAGGCACTGATGATTAATCAGAGATCCGTCGACAACTAAGCTGTTACTGTTGCGTCTAATCATGAAAATCGAATACCTGGGGGCTTGGGATGCAGCAGCCAATATACCCCTCTTAACGCAGGCTGAATTTGGTTTTTCCAAACCACGACGCTCTACTTCGGGTGATCTCGAACACCAGTCTCTTCTTTCGTTGGATGTTGAACGAGATCGACAGTCCCGCCTTAAATGTCCTTCTCTGCCACAGTTATACGATTTAGGCAGTCATCTTGCCTTGGATGCAGTTCCATTCATCAAATATTTCTTGAAGAGTTCTTCAAGACCTACCATGAGTCGATCTGTTCCTTCGTCTACCTTTTCATTGATGGCCCTCACTAGAACTTTTCGTTGTTGTCGCGAAGCATTTTCAGCAGCTTCAAATTCTAAGGCATAAATGATGGCTTCATTAAGTTTTTTATGACGTGCCACCATCAATGATTGCTGCAGCTCCGTGTCACGAACTCCGTCGATGAAACTATGGACACTAATCCAGTGGGTGAAGTTATCCGGTGCTTCTGGGTAAGCGAGTCTTACTAACCTTTCGACTTCAGCTCTAAACTCTTGCAAACTTTCTGATGGACCTTGAGTCCTCACCTTCTGTTGAACTTGGTAGACTTGTTGAAGGTGCTCACTACCATATCTGACCTCCAAAGCTACAACCATTGCTTCATAATCCTTCTGACTATCCACTGGAATATTTTGCAGAATTTCGGAAGCCTTTCCTCGTAGCGCCAGTATGAGAGATGCTGCTTTCTCCTCGTTTCTCCACCCATTATTTTCCGCAGCGGCCTCAAATTGTCGACCACCCCTTCAAACTTTTTGTCGACTCCTTCAAATTTCTCATCGACTAGGTATTTTTTCCAATTCCTCCTTTGTTTCCTGAAATAATTTACCAAATTCTTCATGTATCTCCCCTTTACTCACTTGGGAAGATTTTAAATCTTCCAATAAATGAAGGTACATCTGATTGTCTTTTTCCTGCTTTTCTTGTATATCTAGTGATAATTAACGATCTTCATTTCGGCGTAATTGTTCGTCCTCTCTTCTTCCATCATCAGAAAAATTTCAGTCAATTATTCCACTTCCTACACCAAATGTTAGGTTATTACCCGTGGTTTAGCAAATTGACTACACTGAACGATAATCCAACTTAACTTTATTTCACTTTAAATGAAACATACACTTCCACTTCAAATGTCAACTATTATTCGAATGTGTATCGCCTCACTAGTCGCTTCTCGTACCGCACTGTATAACTTCCACTCGACTGTGTCGATATGCTCGTCGTGGCTAGCGTTTATATATCGTAATCGATTAAGGTAGAAAATTCGCCGGAATTCCATCGAAATCGGTAGCATAATTCTTGCTACATCTAGAGCGGCAGCGAACATCGTACATTCGCGCACTCTTAGCTACGTCACAATTGGTTTATGACTACCAGTGGCGGCTGGCGTTATTTTCTTTCTGGGCATGATTTACAACAATAGTTATACTGTTGTCTGTGACTCTGGTTGACCATCTGACTAAATTATTATCTATTTCAAAAGACGTTAAGATATTCGTCAATTGCAGGTGGCCATTATTTTTACATCAGTGTTAAATAATTTTCCTTTATTTTCAATATTTTAATATTAATATATGTTACAAAAAGGATTTGAATCTTTATAATTCCTATTTATTATATGCGAGCGCTTTCGACAACTGGTCGTGCTGTCATCATCAAGGCTCTACTCAAACTGAACGTGTCATCATCTTGTTTGTCCTTTTATGCGGTCCGAACGCCTTAGTGCAGGTACTTTTAGGTAAATTTGCCTGTATTTGGGTTACATCAGGTAATATTCTTTGTGTTGTATAGAAGATCCTTGATTTATTATCATCTGTTGGGGAGTTCCCTTTTTTCAAGAACTGTGGAGATATAATTAGCTGAACCAGTTTTACTCCACTTTCTTCTGTTTGTATACAATCAATATCAAAGTTTTTGCGGTGAAACTGTCCCTATTTTTCTAGCCTGTTAGGTGTCCCACAATTGCTTTGTTCATATTTGGGTTATTATAAATTTGTTTTTGTAGATACGAAATTTCATCTTTTCATAAATTGCCGTTTTCATACAGAATGGAGTCCTACCTTCCAGTTCTTCGACTATAAGCCTGAAATTATTTTCTTTTTCAACACTACATTTCTTACTTGGATTGTAGAATTGGTTCCCGTTGTCAGTAGTTATATGCCCGCAAATTACATTTTTTCATTTGACAAGATTGTTAAAAACAGCTTGGGTGGATCTTCGCACTTAACACACGTAACTTTATTGGTGACACTTTTTTTTGCAGTATTTGCAGGCAGATACTTCAATTTTATTGAGAAGAGCTGAACTTGTGTCTGAACCCACCGTCATTTTTTTACATCATTTTACACAAGCCGTTTTTCAAATGCCTGTAAAATTGTGCAGAAACCATCTGAAACTGTTTTTTCACACCTAAAATTTTACGCAAAATTAAATCTATTTTAATATATGATATTCAGTTCAAGATACTTAGTTGGGTAAAGTGATTCTATACATTCTTGTCTAGTTATTCCTCAAAATTGTAAAAAAATATGCAAGGAAAACCTTTTCAAGTGATTGTTATCTGTTCACGCACTTAGTGTCAACTAACTATGCTGCCAACTTCATAGTTTCTGTAGGGTGGTAATAAAGATTGAATTTTTTGAATATCGTGATGCCTTATTTCCTAAGTTACTCAGTCGCTAATCTGAGTTTCTGCAATGTATCATATCTAAGTGAATGAATTTCAAACTGTAACTTTCATGATATTTTTCTTGGCTCCCGTCACTTTTTTCAAAAGCTCATATAACTATCATTATTCAGAGAAGATAACAAACACAAGTAATAGTCAACGTGTTTTTTAAGTGTCACTGGTGTTATCATTTCTTAAATTCACTTCTGATAGATTCTATTAATTTACTTTATACATTTTTCAGCTGTTATTTCATTTTCTTTATTTCTAGATGCAGTTAATGCTATTGCCTCTATTTCTCTTGCAAAAACTAAGTATTTTATTCATGAAGATTCCATGTGAGCTTCATAAGGTTTTCAGTTTCCCAGTTTCAACACAATAACTGTTAAATTGGAGCTTGAAAGAGGCTGCAACTAGTAGACTGATAAAAGAGTAACTGAGACAATATCACCACCCATGCATATTTTTCAAAAGCCAAATAAACAAAATAAAAGCTGTTATTAAACAAATAATCAAATGAGTAACTCAATTTTTCTTATAAGGTCTACAATTATTATCTATTAAAGAACAGGCATAAACAGGCTTTGCCAACGGGATGATATTAGTAAAGAACTCAATATAAAAAAATTAGTGCATCTGGCAAAACCCTTCTACCATCTAGTTTTCACAAATCCATGTTATAAACCAGACTGTGACTTCCGCAGTTATATGTACAATGCAGAAAAAGGCCAGAATTCATGACTGGACTAGATTGTTTTTCAAAATGTATTCTAGTTTGAAATTAAAGATGAAAGAACACAGATCAAATTGAAACGGCACCTTAAGCGACATAGTTGTACTGGTTGGGATTGTCTTTATCTCTTTCCATGTAGTCTCTATCGATGAGGGATTCAATGCGTTTCTTCAAATCAGCAGGCTAAAAAACAATAGGAATATTAAATATGTTATTCTTTATAAAAATGTTTTTTACTGATTTCATCAAGTAGGCCACAAACACTTCAATTATACTATATATATATTAATATACACTGTGTTCAATTTTAAGCACCATCATATTTCAATAAAGAGATAAAACTATTGGAGAACATTCATTACTGTGCCCCAGTTTCATTTAGTTGCCTGTTTGCAGAGAGAGGGGAGTGAAGAGGCAGATCTAACGCTGAGGAAAGACAGATTGGGAAAGTTTATTCCACAAGCACGACGTTATCTAAATGGATATATGACCTTGGAAAAAAATTAGGGAAGTTATTAATGATTCCACCCTCCACAAGTGAAGCCAATGTAGAATTATTACTTTTCCTGGTCTAAATCTCAAAATCTTCATATACATTTAGAGAATAATACTAACTAAAATCAACCAGAAATTAGGAACTAATTAACAAAACTGAAGAGTTTGTAGAAGAATTTTTCAATAAAATCAGCAGAACATAAAAATTGTAGAAATAACATGCAAAGTGAAGCTTACAGCTAAATTGGAGTTATTACAAACATCTGGATGAACCATCAACTTACATAAAAAGAGTCAGGTTATCAAAGAAAAGTAAGTAATGAGTATCATTCAAACATAATCGATAAGTTAATTAGTGAACGAAAATTCAGAGAGGGTCTTTGGAATGCTCGACGAAAGACGACGATTCAAAGTTTGGAAGGCATACTTTGTGCCTTTCCCACTTCGGACCGAATCAGATTTTCGGATTTTGTGAGAATTTCACTTTTGCCATCTGACCTCACCATATAAGCTAATGGGCTTCGTCAAGAAGCTGGACTCACTTCATCGAGTTTGAATAGGGGTGAGCCACAATAAACTCTTGTTGGTTGCAGTGGACGGTTCAATAAACCCACTTACTTTGGACCAGATCGAACCCAATGTAAGCCAGAGTATCTTCAGTATTGGTCAAGAATAAATATTGAAGTTCTGATTGTTTGAAATTCACTAATTTCAGATATTGAAATTCTCCATTACATAACATCATTTGATGACATCATAAACATGAATTACGAAGATGACACAGAACAAAACAGACGAAGGCGAAGATTAACATGACAGCCTGAAAGATCGTAACTTTATCCCTGGAGAGGACAGTAACAGTAATTCGAAGGAAGATGAAATTCAGTTGGTTTTAAATGAGAAAGTCGGAACAAGATAACAGCTGAAGAAAGAGAACCTTTGAAAGGACGACCTAAAATGAAAAAAAAACATTATCCTGGACAAAGTTTTGCAACTAGACAAAAAAAATTGGAAGATTCAAAGGGTACTATAGTGTTAGGGGAAAATTAAATTGAGCGAGAAAATGCATTGATTTCAAATGCAGCTGTCTTAAAAATTATGGTGAAAAATTGACCGGAGACAAGAAATATTTTTTTTAAATTGTGGGATTTGGCTTTATATGACTTGCAAACAAGTTACATAAGAGTATGTTTAAAGAAATGCCAGTCAACAGAAAGATCTGTCTTAGTGAATTCCTGTTTGAAAAAAGAATTAATATTGTGGTCAGGTAGTTCTGGTGGATAAAACAGCAATATTAAAATTGTNTAAATTTGTTTTTATAGAAGCCGTACTGTGAAGTACTGAAATAAAATTTATTCTCGAAATATGTATATAAACTTTCTTTAAGAATGATTTCAATAATTTTTCCAATAAAAAGGTGAAACTGATTAGCCGATAATTATCGAATGAACATTTATCACCTTTATTGAACAAAGGTATTACTTTCTAAATTTTCACATTGAATATCATATTTATTAAACATGTTAACTGAGGGATGATTAACTCAGCAGCTGTTTGCAATACTAGATGTAAATGGACATCACAAGAGCTGGAAGTACCTACAGAATTGAGAAGCTAACTGGTAGTAACGAATATTGACAGTCGACAAGTTCTTAGCAGTCAACCATCATCAGCACCGTCAGATTCCAAGTTTCGAATTTCTCTCAACTTATTGAATGACTGCACATTTCAAATTGCGGCACACTTCCTTTTGGTTGAAGATTTCTCTTTTCTCACACTGCCATTGTTTTTTTACCACTTGGGAATTGCACCCTGAGTATGTTTGGTTGCCAAACTCGTGGGTTCATAGGCGTACTTCAGGTATAATTAAGTTCATTTATTAACGGGAAACCCATTTGTACAATTTTCCATTTCAATAATTGAATCTATGATTTTTAATTGTTCAACTTTAAATTTTTTGCTCAGTTGTATTTTGTTGTAATTTCAATTCACGTTTTTACATTTCAATGCTTCATATAATTGGTATTTTTAGCTATTACTTTTAATTTTATTTGTTCTTTCAGCGATTTCAAATCACATTAGAATCATATAAGACAATAGAAATCCGAACTGGTAAAATTCACCATGAAACATTGTCAACCACTTTCAAAGAAATAATCAATGTACCTCCAGTCGTGTGTGACACATCACACAGCAACTGCCAAACGTGATGATGAACCCGCCCCCATGCGCACAAACTCATTTTTAATATAACCCCCACTACAGCTCTTGTAAGACATACAAATGCTCTGTACAGAAGCGTATTACTACTTGTCCTTCAATGCTGTTGGTGTTTGGCATTGTCTGAATAATTTGTGAAGTCATGTTCCATTTGCTACCTTAATAAAAACTCATTATAGGTAAGACACTGGCCGGCAAGGGACTCGTCGTAATCCAATAGGAATTTAATTGGGAGAGTCTACACCTGCGCGATTGCTCGCCATCACGTTTGGCGCATGCTATACTTCTTCAACCAACCAGAACGCTTTCCACCAAGTGTGTGCGCTGCCAACCAATCAGGACATTCCACGCCACAATTACAGGCTTAGAGGATAATATTTAAAACACTTTCAATTTTTTCAGTGTGCCGCTCTGCTTAATTTTGTTTAGAAGGCTCCTTTGTATTCCATCCACATTATAACATTGCTGACTTGACGTTTTCTATTTTCAATCTCAGCTATACTCGTAGTGTTTTCAAACCGCTGAACCGGATTTTGTTCATCTATATTTTGAGTTAGTTTCCTATGGAATTATTATATCTGGTAAATTTACTACACCTTCTCTAATGAATTTTCTACACTTTCTCTGCATGGTGGATAGAAAAACGGCATTATTCGGCATTATATATAACTGCAGTTCCCATTTGTAGGCCTATTGTTTATAAACCTAATTGCCTTATCACTTCTGCTCTTGATTGCTCCAATTTTTCAATGTTAATCTGTTTAATCCCAAAAATGTGAATACTGAGTGAGGCAAAACATTTTGTTGTTTATAACTGGTATACTCTTCATAGTTAATTATAATTACTTTCAATTCGTGATTCTTTCCAGGGTCTATTTAGGACACTTACTACTAACCATATCTACATCTTTCTTCTGATAAATGGAGGTAGCATAGGATTCTTTTATATCCACTTTGATAATGCCAGATTCACGTTTCTGCCTTTTCATCATTTCATTAATTGAATCTTCAAACTTTTCTCCTTGCAAGTGATGAATTATCCAATTATCTACTAATTTAGTCCAACAATTTTGGAACACATTGTGATATACTTGGGAACACAAAGAAGAAAACTTTTATAATGAGACCGTCTGAGAACGGAACTGAAAGAGATCTGCTTAGAATAATGTATTGTTAGAAAACAACCGAACAAAATGGATATGTATTATCATCTTATGTGAATTTCAGACACTGGATCACAGTAGGCAAGCAATTATGGTTAATCAAAATTAAATCCACAGGAAAAACTATTCATGCATTACTAGTATTACTGAAAGGTATTGGATGCACCTATCTGTAAACTTGTTGGTGAAGACAGGCTACGCTTGTTCCAACAGTCCAAGCTCATTGCCTACTACATGATTTGACCTGCAGGATATTTGAATACCCAAGAATGACAAACTGACAAATCAGCTGTAGCCGAACATGCTCTCAAAGAAAGCACTCACATTATCTCATTCGAAGATACAGAAATACTCGATAAAACTCAAGATTACTCTCCAAGAATATATTTGTGCCACTGAGGTGAATGACACCATGTCCATTTTTTCAGTTAATTGACTTACTACCTTGCCCTTGATTTAGATTTTTTGATATATGCAATGGTATAGGGCACAATGTCCTAGTCCCAGAAATAACGAAGATGAAGCATTGAAAAATAAAACCATGTTCGTTTTCATCAGAGTTAACAGACACCAAGAGGTCTTGGTTTTGTATACAGCATTAAATGTAAGAAGATAAAAGAAAAACAAGTTTTTTAAGTATTGGTATTGATAATTCAGGTAAAATTTGTTATTTAAATACCTATTGCAGTTATCCGACTGTATCATTGTTTATTCAAAGACTTGTTTTGTAGAAAGGCATTAGTTTAATATATGAGTGTTCTGATTATTAGAAACTGTTGTTATTATTAAAAAAGTGATATGGGCTGTTTTACTTTTAGGGGAAACAAGATACTAAGTTTACTTCATTTAAATGATAAGAAATTTACAAAAAACAAAGGTAGGTTAAAATCTTTACTATTTTGACCTTTAAAACTTAAAACAAAATGGAAATACTTTGACGTTTTCGAAAAAAAAATCAAACTGTCTTTTAAGCCACCAGAGGTAAACACATGTGACTCGTTTCAGGCCAGACTTCAATATAGCTGTATGAAGCAAACAGATAGAGACAGCTTAAGTGCTGAATACAAGGCACCCCATTCCGAAGCAAATAAAAAGTACACCCTGAAAGTGATGATACCAAAATCGCTAAAACAAACCCTAACCACAAAGTTTTAACTGACGACCTGACTCTAAATTATACCTTTTATGATTCATATGATAATGTAGGACGAGTCGAAAGCTGGTACAGGTGGAGAGGAAATCTCTTCAACTATTCTGAAATGGGCTGACGGCGTTATTCCTACTTCTAACATTGAAGAAACAAAGCCTTGGTCTCAAAACTGCTTTGGCCAGAACAAAACTATTTCAATTATACTGTGTTTTTTCTGGATTTTGAAAAAATATACTCAAATAAAATATATTGATATAAAGTTCCTGTTATAAGGACACACTTATATGGAAGCAGATACCGTTAACGGTTTAATTGAAAGGAAACGAAAGAACCTCAACAATCTGACAATCCTCACTCCCCGGGTTTGGCAGCAGATGGTGCGCCATTGTTCCAGCAAGTAACATGTATACAACATCGAGCAAGACGACTTCAATTCAATGCAGTGCATGAAGGCAAAAATTCAATGCAGTGCATGAAGGCAAAAACGTAACATTTATAAATCGAAAACAAACTGTTGATAAGGATAAGTTTCTAATGTGTAGCTGCGTCCATATTCAAATGAGACAGGAACAACTTGGCATTTTTTACTTCAAATCGTCTTTTGATGTCGATTACCAAGCAGTTGACCGCAGCAGGAAAAGAAAAAGAAAAATATTCAATGAGAATGTGCCTACATTTCTGCCAAATATATCAATTAAATAAGCTGACTCAATATCTCAACAGAAATTCAATGACCCCATTTCTTTGTTACCTTACATTCCTAGTTTTTGTCATAGCTTTTATAACGACTGCCCAAAAACTAATTTCAATAACCACCACTATTCAACGGATGTGAGTGATTCATCTGACGATTAAAAATGTTTTCTTCTACAATTGTATTGTATTACAATGTTCTTTGACAAGCTTTGTATTAATTTCCAACAACTATCACTTTACTAATGTTTATGTATATTATTGAAAAAAATGTGTTCTATAATAAACTATATTGTCATTACTTGCCTATTATACCTATATTTATACCATACCTATACCCTTATACCTTACCTATAACTATAAAAATTAAATTAAACAATTACACATTGACTAATTGTAAAAATTATTTTTAAACAATAATAATACTGTTATACTAAGTCCATGAATCATCGTTCATCTCTATAGGTATACCACACTATGTCCACAAAAAAAGTGATATACCAGGTAAATTGTCATAAATAAATCTAGGATCAATACTTTCAATTAATTACCAATGCCAATAACAATGTGAGAAACTTTCATTAAGCTGGTTCAACAAATGACGAAGAAACAAATTTTAATTGTTCAAAAATATGGAAAATGGTCTGAAGAATGACACAATTGTGACATGGTGGCCTTTAACTCGGGGATAGAAATATAGAGAGGCAATAGAAATTCAGAAACACGGGTATATTGTTGACAGAAAGGAAGATGCAATGAACATTATTAAAATCTGACTAACTGTCCTTAATTGCACAAAAAGTCAGGTAATCCTATTAAGAGAAACGAAGCCAAGCCCACCTATGATAATATAAGACCAGAGAAAAATTCCTGCATTGTAGTTTCTGCGTTGTGACCTACTCAAGTACTTCGAACGGTAACTCATCGCCTTTGATAATGTCTACCGTACTCTGATTCATGAAGGGTGTTCAAAATACATTTGAAATGGCGAAAACTATGGATACATGATTTTTATCTCGTAATTTTAGAACAGTACTTTTAGAATTGCATGAAATATTCCCATGTCTTTGAAAGTCTAAAGAATATTTGAACAAAAATTTGAGAGTAGCAGATATGAAGAACTCTCTTAAAGTTCAGTATTAAAACTCATCTAGACACAGATATTAGATTTGTGAAAAACAAAAATTAAAGTTTAAGAAGCAGTTTCAGAAAGGAAATGAGAAAATGTACTAGTAAAAGAAGCGGTGTTGTGATACTATATGATACTATAAATAACTGTTATTCATTGAATCCCAGGTAATGCCTAGTAATAGCAACATAAAAGGGTGTATTATCCATACAAAGAAGATTTTTCACATTACTTGGATAATCTTTTTCAAGAACACTTGTGATTGGAGATAAATCACACAAATGTCCAGTTTTTAGACGAATTTGTACCCATTTAAAATTTATTTCGTCTTTTCAATACAACATAACTTGCCACACATAGTGGTACCTTTTTTTTTTGCTATCTATGAAAGCTGAGAGTGCATGGGTCATGCCAATGTACAGAATTATTTGACAGTGTTATACTAATAACACAAAGTAATTTCCAGCCACGGAAATACTCAACAGCTTTGCCTTACATGTAAGTTCAACTTACGTGTTTGTGTCACCAAAGGTATTGGCCAGTCCCAATGGGCAAAGCTTGTCCGTAATAATGGTGAACGTATTGGTAGCCAATGTGACAAACATCAAATAAATTACCTGTACAAACTAGTACTGAGAACAAGATTGTTGAAATGAGTGTCATGAAAGGGTGAGAGAAAGTCACGATAATATGAAAAAAACAACAAGGTGGCAAGGCTGCAGTGTTTTCCTGAGGTTTGGAAAAAAATTGACGAATCAAGTGACTCTCAAGAAGAAGAAAAAATGGATGCTTTATGTTACCTTTCAAACTTTGGAACTTTCATAATGTACCAACTTTATGAATACATAATTAATTCTATAGTGGTTTTCTTTTTTTAGATTTCTTTTGTTATCTGTTTTCTAAAAAAATATACTGTTTTTTTTCTTCATAAATTTATTGTTCAGATGCATTCTATATTTAAATCCGATTTATTGTGTCACAGTATTCACTAATGGACCCATTTAAATAAAAATTATATTGACCAGACCCAAAAAAGGTTGAAACATATAATGCAAAACAAAAAGTCAGAATTAAAATTTACTAAAATTAATTGTATATAATTGATTATTCAATACAGCCTATTCGAGATTTTTCTCAGATGGAGAGCAGATACATTAAGATAGTGTGAAGGGTTTATATTTAGCACATAAGCTACTAAATAGAAGTGTACTTGGGGCAGNCGCCAATGAAATCAGTTGTGCTGTGAATAACAATCCATTGAAGAGAGTAAATAAATACCTGGAAGTTGACAAAAATGTCTTCGAATATATTATGAAATAGTTTTTATATTTTGTGTGAGGAGACAATGCAATCTTTTTGAATTTTCGCTCTTTAATGAAACATTTTTCAATTCATTATTTATTCATCTAAAATTTTGTCAATAAATAGCATGACGGCAAACCAATATCTCTCAAGAACTTTCCATAACTGTTCGAAATGAAGGTTTCGTAGCCCATAGTTTTATGGTGGAAATGCACATGTTTCATTTTTTCACGAAAAACTGAAATATCTCGTGAATGTTTGATTTTTGATATAGGAAATGTTTCATGAAAATAAGTCAAAATCATCTATAAATTTCAAAACTATCCTAAATCACATGCTGTTTCATTCCAGAAAATTAAGTTTTGGTTCATTTTCATATCTTCAGAATTAATCTTGATTCCAAACACCTTGTATAACATTGTGGAAATGTTACTTCTACAAGACAATGGAATGAAGTATTTTAATGAATCAATAATAGCTTATTTATGTATTCTATCAAACTCTTGAATCTTATAGGAGAATCACTTGAGAGCTGAATACCTAGATTTAAGTAAGCAAATTAATATTTCAAGAACGGTTCATTTTTGGTATAACCGGAAGTGTGGGAAAAGGCAATTATTTTCATTCGATAAAATATATTAAAAAATCTATATCTGCCAATTTTCAGAATATGAATCCTATTTTTTGTGTCACAGTATTCACTAATGGACCCATTTAAATAAAAATTATATTGACCAGACCCAAAAAAGGTTGAAACATATAATGCAAAACAAAAAGTCAGAATTAAAATTTACTAAAATTAATTGTATATAATTGATTATTCAATACAGCCTATTCGAGATTTTTCTCAGATGGAGAGCAGATACATTAAGATAGTGTGAAGGGTTTATATTTAGCACATAAGCTACTAAATAGAAGTGTACTTGGGGCAGTCCAGTAGACAAGATCTTGTTGACCAGGCAAGTATAGTGAACAACACATTTTATTCAATTTGAAAAGTTGCAGATCCCTGATGAACAGATAGATTTGTGCTTGAAAGGGAACCATTGTTATGAAATGAATGCATTGAAAGTGAAATAATTTCCCAAGGCAAAGATATGTTATTTTTGAAACCACACATAATTTGATAATACCAACCTTAACAGGAAACTTCAACTGCAAATAAAGCTCACTGATGAGCAAATTGTGACTGAGGGTTTTGCGCATCTTCATTACTCGAACAATAGCGGCATCAATTTGGTATTGTCTGTCCTGGTAAACTCGTTCTTCTGTAGCCTTTTGTTCTTCAACCTTAAAAAAACACAAATATATTAAGGTTGACTGCATTATTTAAAATTTGCACTCACAGTTTCTTTCAGCTGAATCTGATTAATTTTTATTCGGAAGAGTTTATTAGTAAATTCATTGTTGAACCTGAACTTATCACTATCATTGATTTCTCTTCCTTTAGGTAACTTATTGAGAACTCTAGCTCTACCGCATGCTAAGGATTGTAAAATTCGTCTCAGTTCGCCATCTTCTATATTAGTAGCTACCTTGATATAGTCAAATGTAATTTCATCATATTTATTGAATAGCAGTATAACTAATGTTTGAAACAAGGAGACAACCAGCTCTTTAGGACCAGTTTTGAATGTGGCTCTTAGAACACAATAGCCCAGTGTTGGCTGCCACTGCAGCTTCCTGCCACTGTGTTTGCTAAGGTAAAACTCTTTGAATATATTCTGAAATCGAAGCATCTTCTCTGGCAGATTTACATCAGTTGGGAGATAAGAAGGCCAATAACCCATGGTCAGTATACTAACAGTCATATCAATTGGTGCCAGATTTCGAGAATTCACGCTCATGTGTTGCTTGAAAGCTGCATTGATATCTTTGCTCAGTTCCATGTCTTTGAACATTCCTTCCAGTTTAGATGTGAAGCCACCTCCACACTCCTGTTTAAGTTTGCTAAGCATGCTTTTTTCTGCATCAACACTTGCTGACTTGCCAACAAGCAGTCTCTTTGCTAAATCTTTTTTGTAAAAAGCTTCAAATACATCTTTGCCATGAATGAAACGGAAAAGTACCATTATTTTATCCAAGAGTCTCTCTAACTCCTCTTCCGTAGCCTCTTTGTTGCCTGCACGTAGTTTAGAATCGACAAATTTTGCTGTAAAAGAAAAGGTACTTGAATCAACAGTACATGTCTTAACCTGATTATTAGGAGACCAACTATTATCATTTCAGATATCTTTTGAACTCTAATAAGATATGTATAATGGTTCAATTTGTCGACATTATATGTATTACGAAATTGAATAAAGAGAAAAATCGTAGTCACCACAATTCTGTGTAAGGAAAAATTGTGAAAAATAATACTAGAAACTACTAATGTGACGTTGGCGGTCATACCCCACTGCTAAATTTTACGAACATTGCCGAGCGATCAGTGGGACGTTTCTCCTATAAATATTGACATATAGGAGTATATAAAGCGTGAAATCCAAAGAAAACAATCTTTCCACAGCAAAACAAAAACACTGACGATAACTCAACGTTTATTGTTCTTCCAAATGAACCAAAATGCACAAATGAAAGGTCTGTGATTTGAGAAATAAGCTTTGAGGATTGTGACACAATAAGCTTTGAGGATTGCGACATATGTTGGTCAAACGAACCGAACTATAAAAACATGTTTCAATGAACATATTTCACTGTTTGAAGAACAGCCACAGAATAGGTGAAAAATGTTTGAAATTGTTGAGACTGGTACATGGCAACAAGCTTTTAGACGCCTAAATTTAGAAATTGAAAAATACCCTAAATGCCAATGAATTCAGTCATGCTGAAAATAACAATTTAATAGAAGTTAACAGAAATGTCTTCAAACATATTTTGAAATAGTTTTGATATTTTGTGTGAAGTATAACCGGAAGTGTGGGAAAAGGCAATTATTTTCATTCGATAAAATATATTAAAAAATCTATATCTGCCAATTTTCAGAATATGAATCCTATTATTTCTCAAAATACGGCCTATGAACGGTCATCGCGCTGTTCCCTGTACATATTATTTATTAAAAAAACATCCTACCGCCTTTCTGGTCGATACTACAAGACTATTAACATGAACTTATTTTCATATCAAACATATGAATGTCTAGGAATTATAAAACCATAATGGAAAATCCATAAAAAATATAAGTTATTTGTTCATGAATATGTTCAGTGATCACAAAGTATTCACAGTTTCTTATAATATGCCATTAGAAAAATCTAAAATTGTTGAACAATCTTATGTTATGTATAGAGATGTATCAGAGCATAACTTGAAACAACTCTCCTCGACATTGTCCAAAACCAGTTTTCATGTAATATATAACAAAACTGATATAGATGAGAGCTTTCTGGCCTTCACGAATATTATAAGTGATGCTAGCGATAAATGTTGTCCGACCAAAAAACACAAATCGTCCACTAGTAACAAACATAAGTGGATAACTCCTGAAGTGAAACAGGCCAGTCTTGATTTAAAAAGTATGCATTGGTTATGTAAAAATATAGGCAACGAAGATTCTCGTGCTGCATACAAAAAAGCGAAGAAAGACTATGAATCATTAATAAAAGCTTCAAAGTTGAATTTTTACGAAAATGTAATTAAGAATTCTAACAATAAAAATAGAACAGTTTGGAACCTAGTTAACAAAGAAACGAACAGAAAACA